AAATCCTAGAATATTTATACACTCACTCACCCATTTCAGCCAATACTCGATCGCGCTCCACTTCCATTTCATTTATTCGCAATGATAGTTCCGCCAACTTCTTCTCATACATGATTTGGACCGTAAATTTAAGTTTTTAAGGCATAATACAAGCATAATATAAGTACTGATCAAAAAACAACACGAATTCTAAGTAAAAAATAAGAAAGTAATAAACCTCGGCAAGGCGACGCTCACTTTGTTCAAGCTCAATGACTAAGCGTTCTTTGATGGATATTTCTGCTTGCAAGTCGGCGAGATCGTCCCTGAGTTTAAAACATTCTGCAAAATTTTACACCAATCTCGAGAAAATAAAAGTGGAAATGTTGTTTTAAAAGAAAAAAATTCCTAAAGATCTCAGTTATAAGACAGCACATGTGTAAAACTGTAAATTACAGAAAATGTGCTGACTTCAACGACTCGGGAAATGCCATCTTGCGCTTGAAAACTGTACCGTCATATCTGATATGAAATTTACAGTTCTGACAAAAACACTATAATGATATTATTATGACAATAGAATATCACCAGTTTCCGCTTCATTTTCAACTTCGATGTCTTCGTCATCTTCATCCTTCAACTCCTCCATATCATTTACATCAAAGTCATCCATTATCATACTAGATTTCACTACACCATCTGTATTTATCTTCGTTTCATCTTGATTTGTTTTCTCCTCTTCAGGTGAACCTTAACACCAATAAATAAAGAAATAATAAACATTTGATGAAGCCAACCTTACAGAAAATATGGAATTCCATTAAAATAGATAAGGACTTTGTAGTAAAAAAATTAACCATCCGATTATTCAGAATTATTTCTGAAAGGCAGAAAATATCTGCAACAAACTTACTTTCCGTTATACTCTGTTTCATACGTTTAATATCCGCCTTTGCTTCCTGAATCAATGAAAAAGTTGGTGTGGAAGTTACGACACTTTCCGTATTATTACCCGATGAATCGTTAATTATAGCAGCGCAGTTCGCTAAACGGTCCACAGACATTCTCGGTATGTTATTTGTTGCCATCGCTTTCCAACGATTCATTTGCTGGTGCAATTGCTCATTTGTTGCGTGCGACTCCATTAATGCACATCTAAACATTTCCATCTTAATTTCAATAACAACCTATAAATCCTTCATATATATTGAATGAATAAAAGCTGGTTTTTTTTCACATTGAAGAATTTCATTTTTGAAAGAACTGAAAGAAAAATAGGCGACATTAACCTCAAAGATTCGAGTTCATCAAGATACACGCGCACAGTACTGCCAAATGCATCGCCTTCTTGTTCTCCTGTTTCATTGGTAATGCTTTCTACAAAAATAATCCGTGAATGTTCACCATCACGAAACCTATTCAACTGTGTGCTCCTTTAAACGTTTACCAATGAATGGTTGCTGATTCTGAGCCTTTAAATTACGCATTCTTGTACAAACTTCATCTTTTTCGGCCAATAGCTGAACATTGCGAGCTCTCAACATTTCAACTGTTTCTTGTAAAGCCTTTATCCGGATTCTTAACTGATTTACATCTGCCTGAAGCAATGACTCAAACTGCTTCTTCGAAAAATGAATTCAAAAATTTAATATTTAAAAAAGTAGAAACATTTTCGTAAATAAAATTACGAAAATGAGAACTTTTTTTTAATAATCAATAACACTTTCAACATCCGGCTATACTTACAAGACTAACTTCTCGGACGCATTGTATTCAGCTTATAACGCCTGAATAAGGTCTCCTCACTGCTTTGAAGTATTATACAAATAGAAAACTACTATTAACTTCAATCAGTCTGAATGTCCCATCCATTAATTATTAGTGGTCAAACCTGTAACAACACATTCTCTCTATACTGATCGTTGAAGGACTCGACACCATCCGAAACTGTTATCCGGCCCTGTAAAGTATATGATCTACTGAACTATGAACTTAAAATCGAATGTTTTTCCCAATATACAAAAAAAACTGTGCTGATTTGAATGTTCATGTCAAATTCATGAAGTTGAGATACATAGAAGCACATAAAATAATAACCTGTTTGAAGTCCAATAATTCAGCCTCTAATTCGGCTATGCGTGAGCGCAAACGGCCAATTAATTTGCTTGACTTATCCTGATTTGCCACAACCTAAAAAGTTAGTTGAAGAGATTAATCATATTCTAAATTTATAAACTGATATGACTAATTTTCTTGAATTAAAAAGATAAAATACCTTGTTTTTGATATCTTTTGCCCGATTAGCGTATTTCAAGGTGTTTAACGTTTCTACGTAATCGCAATCCGATGGACTGATACAGGCAATCATTAAAGTTCGACTAAAAACCACACCATATATATCAAACTACAACACTGATTTCATAAACCATTTCTCCATCTCACCAAAAAAATTTCTGCGATTTCTGAATAAAACAATTATGGATAACCTGTTTCCACCAAGTGAATCTTGGAGTAGACGAGTTAGCTTTGAATCTCGATATGGTATATGTATCACTTTGTCTGATGTTGTGGGTGTTGTTAATGCACATATAACATTGCCCAATGCTAACTGAAATCGAAACAAATATAATATTTGATACAATATTTTTTCGTGATATAATCCTTAATCTCCAAATGGAAAATTACTCCATTTTTCAAATTTTACGCATTAAAAAAAGTAAAAGATAATACCAATCCAAAATTGATATTAATGCCTTCTTTTATCCGATCGCCAGTAGCACCAGTGCGTTTTAAACGCTCCGAACCGGCCAAATCAACGAAATGAAATTTAGCACTTAGAAGTTCCAGTTCAGTAGCAGGAGGCTCTTCCAATCCAGAAGCTTCGTCTCCTTGTTCAATGACAGCTTGTGGATCAAAACAAGGCTGAAATCAAGAATTTTACACCAAATGCACGGTAATCCGGTAGATAGTATAAACCGTGAATTTAAAATTTGATTTACTACTAAATTAAATATCTACTTTGACAATGACTGTTCGTTGTTGTTTAATTATCACTGTAAAAATGGCATGTGAACGCGACGACTGTTCGTTCATATTGGTTGACGCAGTTTTGCGATTAAGCGCACCATTTTTCAAGACTTCTAGTGTCTAAAATAGAAAAAAACATGAAATGCTTTTAAAATATCATTAAAATGCAAAAATATCAAACTCCATCAAAAAAAGATTTTGCACTAAAAAGCTAATTTTGGACAGTAGCTTTAACAACTGATTTCATCGTGTTATGACACAGTTCAATTATTAAATCAATTGTTAACCTGCGAGGGACTTGTTACTGTAACTCGCGTTACGCCATTTAAAAAAATTTCTCCCTTAGCGTCTTCATGAATACGAAGACCTATAGGTGATCGTTCATGACTTAATAAATCAATTATATCTTCGTTGTATAGCTGAAAAAAATTTGTATTTTTACTCAGAAAAACCGATTATTCGAAAGGTGGAGCGGAACAGTAAAGACAGCAGAAATTGCACAAGAAAAAACTTCTGCTTTAGTTTGCACTTTATAAATTAAGCATTTTTGTCGAAAGTACCTCAACGAATTGCGCAACAATGTCAAAACAAGGTTCTACGAAACCTTGTTCTAAAGCTTGTTGTTTGCGACTGTCCATTCCAGAAAAAAGATGCCTAATAGCGCGTGGGACAATACCCACATCGATTTCGTTCATTACATCCATCATATCAAATGCTGTACCCATCGTATAAGTTTTACCGCTGCCAGTCTGTAAGAATTGTATTAGATTATTTGGAAGTTTAAAAAACTCCCACGAAGATTTACAAATAATTGCACATTCCTATATATAATAAATGAATATGATAAATTTAGGTAAAAAGTAAGGATCACAAAAACACCGCATCGCAACAACATTAATAGAACTGAACTAAAGCAGCACTGAAATAAATCTAAATAGCAATACGATTTCAATTTCATGATCTAAATGTATTTGGACATGTATTCTTCATAAAAAGAATAACATACCTGACCATAAGCCAGAACAGTCGCATTGAAACCTTCAAAAGTTCCTTCAATCAAATTTTTAACACAGTCATCATAAACTTTTTGTTGATGAGTTCCAATATCAAAGGCATAATCAAATGTAAAGCTCCTTTCACCACCAATCGTCACCTGCAAACAAGAGAGCGACTGACTTTCATACAATGAACAATAAATCATTTGTCATAAATCATGCCTGCTGCTTCATGCAAATTTATATAATTAGTTACCTGTGCTTCTTTCTGCAAAACATTTGTACAAATGTGACTGTTTTCAACTTTCTCTCGTTCAGACTGCGGCCTCACCCTTCAAATAGGTTGAAGCAATGTAGCAAATGAAACGAATGATTCACATATTACTTTTATTTGTTTATCTTTTCATAAATGTTTCATCGCGAAATGTCTTACTTCTATGGCTGTAGGTCCAAATAAAAAGATAACTTTGTGGTATCCTGGGACGTTACAGTAAATTAGGGAAAAATTTCTCAAGAATTCCATTGGTAAAGTTTTGAAATTTAGGAATATTTCAGCCTTTAACAACAGTAACAGAAACCACCGGTAAAATACTAGAAAATAGTACCTTACTGCAACGCGTACACAACTTGGGTCGCCCATTTGCAGTGTAATCCGCTTTTTGTTAGTACTGAAAAATGGTTGTCATTTTTCAAACTTTTTGAAACCATCTAAAAAACTTCAAAATTCCGCCATCTAACTCGTTCCACAGTTCAACAAACAGATATTCAACACCACTGTTTTCTATGATCGAAAATAGGGGGGGAAAGTTGGACAATTTCCGAGATCATAAACACGAAATAAAGGAAGGAAGGATGGAGTTCCATGGTTCGTAAAATGACTGTCACCATGTTTTCCAATTTCAACAATCTGACTGCTTTCAAATGTATGCATTGATCATACCAAGTGCATTTCCAGGTTTGTCACATCATTACTGGCTACTCTGGTCACTCTGATAACTCTTCTACTACTTCCACCCTGACCATGCGCACTCCTATTGTTTAGCATTCTCCTCCTCCGTCAATCCCTTCCCCTTCCTATTTTGCCCCCACCTTTTAATACTGCCACTTTTCTTCAGTTTAGCTTTTCCTGTCACTTTCCAATCACATACTGTCGCCACTTCCCATAAATTTTTCTAACTTTCCAAGATGTTATATTTCTCAAACAATAACACTCTCCGCTTCTCTCCGGTCTCCACTATATTTTCTCTTTTCATTACCTTGTATAACATAATGATTGTGAAAATCAATATCTCTTCTTTCGGTTCGTTTTTCCGCGCAGTAAAAGATGCGGCAATTTTGTCACTATTTTCCTGGTTTATCTAATATAGCAACTTCAAAAATCGGTAATTTTCTCTTCCCCTTCCTTCATGTAAAAGACTATACAGTAAAGCTCATGTTACATTGAACCGGATAACTTCCGTCAAAATTCATCGTAACAAAGTTGTAAGGAACGAAGAGGTAAGGAAATGAATTGCTGAACGTTAAGGGAATGACGTTTCAACTGGCAATTTAACTACAAATGGAACAAAACCCCAAAAAAAAAACATAAACAGAAATGACCTTGAGCAGGTTCCAAACATTGTCAACATCAAACTTCCCACTTAAGTAATTTGTGATTCAAATAATAAACTGGAGCATAGTAAATGATGAATATTGGAATATTAGTGATAGAAATGGTGGTGACGTTATGGCGACTGTAAATTGGTGAGCGAAGCAGGGTGGAAAGCAGGCCACCCACTCGCAGATCACATTTATTTCAAAAATTTGCTGCTTGAAAAATGTCTTTGCAAAAATCGATCATTCCTGCTACATCTTCTATTACATCACTAACTATCACCCATGGTCTGTTGATTGTTCAGCACCGTCCACTGCTACCTTTACTGATTCATATATTTCTTTTTTTGATTCGTAATTACAAAGAAAAAAAATAGGAGAGGAATAATGTAGGAAACAAACCACAATAGGAATAAGCAAAAGCCAGTGTGGAAAGACTTCACGGAAGAAAACAAAAATGAATCATTTGTTTTTAGAAAACAGATTAACAGAATTCAACTTTCTTTACGACCATTCTTCTACCTGAAGTACCAACTTGATAGTCTCATTACATTACACTCTGTGGTAGTACTGATGAAACTTTCATCGAATTTCAAACACTTCGAAACGATTTTGTATTTGCAACCCGTCACCATACCGAAAGAAAAAAGTAAATTTCGTTTTTTTTTTCGTCGTACATCTCTTTCTTTGTGTAAACTTTATATTTCTCAACGAATCTGATAAGATAAAAATGAGTTAACGGTTATAACAATTAATGCAATAAACAAGCAAAGTCTCTCCATTTCTACGGAAAATTTTTCGAACAGTGAGAAGAATAAAAGGAAAGAATGCATAATTTTTTGAAAAGATAAACTAGGAATGAATCACCTTAAAATATCTTCACATATATTTTATGCTATTTATTATAAAATGGATTTTAGAAAACATAAAAGGATTAAGACGTAGAAAGAATACTGTGAAATTAGTGCTACTCAAAGTGTTGAATGAATATGATGGGATGAATGAACGTTTCCTGGCGAACGAACATATACCATAATGTGAGATGAATCCATAAATTTCGCACTAATTTTTGATTATAGAAATTTATCAATTCAATCTTAAAGGAATGTGGTAATAGTTCAAATAGAAAGAAAATGACTCCCTCAATTCACAAAATCAGTTGAATAATATAACCAAGAGAAAAAGGAGAAATGGTAATATGACACAAATTACAACTTGAACATGAAGGTAACAGTAACAGTACGAGATATATCGGTATATGTATCCACTGAATGACTTAGGAGTCATTATGGTACCGGCGGATACTTTCACTGTTATGATAGTGTGATAATTCATAGGAAGAATTGAAAGATAACAAGCATTTCTTCCAATACCTCTTAACATGGCTTTTTGTTGCAGTTATTAAGTTTTAAATTTTATATCTGTAAGGTAAAAATGATATTTGTCATGATAACTAACAGAAAAAAAATGTGTATAAACGTGAACGGACGCCTGTTGCATATACTGGATGTCAATCTTTTGAATGAATAACCGGAACTCTTCATTGTACACAGCGATTTCAGCAACTTTCTTGACAAAAGCTAATGCATTAAAGTAGGAATGTTAATTTTCTTACCTAAAACGCGGGTGGAAATAACAATATGAATGATTTGTTCAAAGCTGCAGTAATTTTCATATGAAGCAGATGAAGCGATAGAAATCTACATGAAATAAATCAGAAATGAAAATGTCTAAATTTCAAAAATGTAGGAAATAAGTATGACATGGATAATATATAGGTGAGTGGCTGTATTGAACAATCTTCATCAACTGCTCAGTAGTATATCGGCGATAATACGCCTGAAAATTGTTCCGAGATGTATGTCGTGAGTATTTTTACCATTAAATGGATACATTAATCAATCTTAGAAAGTGTTTTTTGAAGTAGGACGGATGATTTATCTGTCAATTTACATATTTCGTGTTATTCGGAAAAATATCATTAATATGAGCAATCATTCAATAGTAATTAATTTAGAAAAGTCAAATTTTTAAAATTGAAAAGTCCATGCATTAAAACCCTAACAATAACTTTGCGACACCCTATTTTGCATTAATAATTACTGTATTAATCTTTTGAATTACTTCAGAAGAAACTATGGATAGGATTCACCCAAAATTTTTGAAAATCAATATTTAAGCATTAAAATAATCAAAAGTGCGTGAACGTTCAAAGTACTAATTTCTGTTGTTTGTGACGCAGATGTGTATCGGGTATATAAAATGTTGCCGTTTAACTATTTGTTTTAATTTATTCACCGATAATTTCCAGATGGAATGAATATTCATACATACAACAAAATAACTTCACACTTCAAAATGCAAAATTAATTGTTTTTCTTTTAACTGTTAGTTAAATTGATTTTGCCTGTATGAAAGAGTCAAATTATTGGAACAATTTTTGAAAAGTTCCTTCCCTCATTGTATCATTTTTTTTATTTTATTATCTTCACCACATACACTCATTGTTACATTTAGAAAATGCGAAAATTCTTAGAGTGCTAGAAAAGACTAGATTATTACAGGAAAATAAGACCGTTATGCATAACATCGAATTATTTCTTCAACGGATTTACGTTTGAGATCAGGTACGGTGGCATTTTTAGCTGGAAATCCAACCGGTAAAAGAAGAAAAACCTCCTCATTCGATGGCCTCTTCAAATGTTTCCGAATTTTTTCACTGCCGTACAGTGGATATGTGATTGAAGTAGCTAGTCCTGCATCCTGGAAATATTTTTCGCTTTTCTAAAAAAGTTCAACAATCGAAATTATTGTTAGTACCAAATTGGAGAAGTTGTCTGGCAGATGTCATAATTATGCATCCAATATCCAAAAGCAATTAAAATAGGAATAAACTAGACCGAAGCAGATTGCTATATATAGAAATTAAGAAGTGACCTGGAGTGCTGCAATTAAAATGCCAACTGTTATGCCGAGACTTATTTGATTGTAATGTGCTGAAGTTAACTCATTTGAATCATTGATCAAATGAGCCTAAAATTTAAATAATTAGTAAATTAAGATATCTTATAACTTTACAAAAATCAATCAAATTTAGTTATTTGATGATATACAGTAGCTAAAAAAGTAAAATATATGAGAATATATGAAAATCACTTATTAATAATAAATGACACAAAATTTTGGATAAATTAAAAAAAAACTGTGAAAGAAATTGAAAATTTTCTTTGCACTCTATTTCCAAGGTACTTTTACCATGTTATGTTAGCCGGAGATCGAGTTAGCTTTATCAACACTTCTTGACATATGAGAACATTAACATTATGCTTTCAAATAAACCGAAACAAATTAACTGCAAATTCTACTTGTTTCATGACCACAATGAGATGAGGAGCTTCAGTAAGATATGGTTTAGACCATATGACTTTCAATTCTGCTATATCCAACACCCAATCAGCTCCCATCCTAAACAAAAACACTCTTATTACTGAATGATATCATTACTCTCTCGACGATATAATAAATATAAATTAGACCATTAACAATTCAAACTTAACATTCGACGTTTTTTTTTTATCAAATGTGGACTGAAATATCCTTATTAGAATGATTTCACCGACTTGCTGCTGTTCAAATTATATCAATGATATGCGGAGAAGGGAAATTTGATTATTTACATAGATATGCGAGTAGATTTCATGTGAATTTTCATTGTGGATTCGGAATTTGATAATTATCTTGTGGCAAAATTTAAAAGTTAAGCAATTTTATAAGTTTTCATAAACTTTTTGCTATAAGTGTTTCGCTCTTCCTCTTCAACGATTTTTCTTATCTCAGCTTTCAGTCCATAACTACTGACTACGCAAAACATCCATGGTTGCAAATTTCCTGCGCTTGGTGCTGTACCTAAAAAATTCTCTCAAATATATCAGCGAATGCAAACAAAATACTGCCAAATTTCTAAAACTTTCAGTTTTTTAAATTTCATTTTAAAATTTCAATCTATCCATTCATATTTATAAAAATCGACTGTTCTTTGGCATTTTCTTTTTTTATATATTAAATAAATGTCATTACAAAAATATTTCAAAAAGTGATTAATTTCAATTTTGATGATTTTCCATACCTGCTGATTTGATAATATTTTGAATCAATTTCGAAGGTACTGGGCGTGGACTAAATTCTTGAACACATCGTCGCATTTTCATGTTCTCGTAAAACAGCTGGGACCTTGGGTTTACTTTTAAATTGAAAATTTGAGATTTCAATGGAATATACTCAGATTTAGTATGCAGAGTTAAAGCTGATAAGTTATTAGTTAAAAAACTGTAGTATGAACAAGCAAGAAAGATAATGCATTAACAATATGTGAAATAAAATTCTACCTAAATAATTTATCTCATTTGCAGCTGGGGGGTGTATCGTCATAAAATGAAGCGTTTTTCGATTTCAAACAAGGGCTTATTCAAATTAATTTAATTACTTCAAAAAGAATATTTCAAAGAGAATATTTCGACGACTGACAAAATGCTCTTATTGGTGGAAATCAATTATGATGAAGTTATGCCAATCAATGTTGAAAAAATTTTAAATATTTTGATAGGCAAACTAAACTACCTTAGCAAAGCTTCATCATCATGTAGACACAAACGATGATACGGCACCTTCTTGATACCGAAGACTTCTCGATAGTTTACGACACTTTCGATAACATCACCTATCTATCAAAATTAAATTTAAAATCTGAAAACTTCGTTACGACAAAAAATAGGAAGTCTATCCTTGAGATATAATGCATACTGAGAACATAATTATGATTTCAAAAATTTAATAATGATATTGATACAAGTCTGACATCTGGCACCTGTTTGTCAGTCATTCCTGCTTGTGGAATGAATTTCCGTTCCGGTTGCATCGCAGCCACACTTCGCTTCCTAATTTTAGCTTTTCGAAACAGTGATAGAAGTTGGGAAACGACAAATGCAATCACAAATGTTAAACAAAGCACATTGCTGCATGCATGTACAACATCCCATCGCCAGCTATTTTCTTCCAACATCTGAAATGTTATGAGAAAGTTTGCTGTAATTAATCTTAAATCTAAATGTTGATTATCAATCTCTGATCTATGACGTTTATCGAATTTATGGAATTATAAGCAAAGAATTAAGTAGTCAAATTTGAAAGGTTATATTGTCGTCTAGCTTCTAGTAATCTGGGACTGGTACAAACACCATCTTTATTTCTTAACCCCTACTAATATTCATTAAATTGTAAATAATTATAGAATACAAAAAAAAGTATGCTCAAGTAAACGAACTGAGCTTAACAATATCAATTTCTTCTTCATCATAATAACTTTTGAACAATTTTTCTAATGGAATTTACAACTGTCTGTCTAGGATGATTAATTTTGATAGAGCAAAATTTTGTATTTCTGAAATATCCGACCATTTTATTTATCCAAACATCAATATGTGTTTAGAAAGATTTAGTAGTGGTTTGGGATGAAATGATCATTTGATGATATATAAGAGAATAAAGTAAAAATCGTAAGAATTTATATATCTCATTTTTATGATCAAATCTGGAAAAGAACCGTGCATAAAAGATGAATTCTTAAAAAAATAATATTGAATTGATCAGGCGGAATGATGAAAGTGAAGATGATGACGACGAAATACCCTGGTTAATGTTTAAAATTTTTGAAAAAAACGCTATTTTTTTAAGATAAATTTTAGTGAATAAGAAAAACAGTAAGGAACATCATATTGGAAAGAAATTTGCTTTCCAAAGATATTATTTCAGAAATTTTTATTTCCCCAAAATTTCAATGGCGACTATTTATCAAATGTGAAACCAAAACAGAAAAAAATTACGTTTTCAAAGCTGTATTTGTAATGAATTTGTTTGTTACTTCAATACGCAAATTACACCGAGCAGTTTGTTGTTACACGTGTGAATTACCAAAGGACCTAAACTGCATGTGTAGTACAACTGCAGGAAAGAGCATCTTCACACCGGATACAGCCTATCATAATGGAGGATAGATCTTAATGTCAGCTGTCATTTAGGTTAGTACACTTGTGGTGTAGATTAGACTAAGTTTTAGTCGACTATTATATATGTAGCAACTTCTCTGATCGGTTGTTTCAGGATGTATGTTATGTCACACTTAATCGCTCCACAAACTGTTCAAAAATGGATTGAATTTCGTATAAAATATATGCAAACTAAAATAAATATTCTTGTGAAGAAAAATTTTTCTCACATAGTTTTAAATCATTTCTATTACCATGATTTAATTTCTCATATTTAAGAAATGAGAGGAGGAAAAGAATGAAAGAAAGTAGTAAAAGTAAGCAAGAGAGGAGATAATAAGTGGTAAAAATATCTTGAGCAATCAGTTTTTTTTCCACTATGTTAAAATTAGAATGAGAAAGTAGTACGGATAAAGCAGACAGGTTCTCATATTGAAATGAAAAAGGAAATGAATTCTTGCTCTAATAATTTTGATAATTCTTGCTCAACTTCATTCATAAAGTTAGCGCATAAATATCCCCAATAGTTCAAATGATATCCCATTGCCATGTCACCCATATGAGTGGTATGGTTTGTAGTCTTTATTTAAAAGAAAAATTTTCAAATACAAGATATTACAATCAATTCATATCACTTTCAAAATATATAAAAAATGATCGTTTTAAGACGATTTTAAATAATTTCACTATTTCTGTCCATTATTTTCCTCAACGTTTTTTTTTTTTGATCCTCAAAAGGAATTACATTAAACCTAAATTCAAGCAATAATCCTAGCAATGCTTTCTTTTTTTGACATATTTAAGCAACCGTTTAAAAACAGTGAAAATATAAAATATACAATTATTGATAGCTCATATGAAATGTTTAATTTGCGAACTTTTCGAAAAACATAGTAAAACTATGAACTATTAATCAAGTTATAATGACCTATGAAGACCATTTACCTAAGAAAATTCGCAAACTTCGTTGCTCAAAGATAACAAGAAGAAAGGGGTGGAAGAAGAGAGCGTAGTGATCATCAATATAAGCAAGAATAAATTGAAGTTGACGAAATCGTAGTTGTTTTAGAGCGAGCCGTGTGGATGTGCACCGCCACGCTTTAAATCCACAGACTGCATATGTATTTATTTTATGCGCAGCAATGAATTGCACATTGTAATAGTGTACATTACATCACCGTTCCCTCTATTCGCACCTGTTCGCATAACTTTAAGCAAAAACTTTAAAAAATGACAGAGAAAATTCTTTCTGAGAAAATCGTTTTAATTCCTAACTGTGTAAGCGAATGATCACGTTTACTGAATTGTTAGTCAACCATTCCTATCCTTTCTTGGAAGATTTTGTCGTTAAGAATTGTTAAAATAGATTAACTGTTAAATTGCTTCAAATTAATTTCCGTAATTTTCGGAGATTCTGCTATTTTTCATTATCTATTCAATTTTAATAATGGATTTTTTATGAATTACGTGATATTTAAATGATTTTGCATTGATCGGTTATCACAAATGAACCCTTATCAGTGCCGTCTTTCTTCTGGTAATCTCTTTTTGTTTTATCAGTCCACTATCATTTCACGAATTTCAAAAATTACGAGTAAAGAAAAGTGGATGAAGTGAAAATACAATGATAAAAAAAGGTGCATTTTGTCAGCTTCCAATGCCATATACCTATGGTATTTTTTTTCCTTTTTAATTTTAATGGACGAGACTTCTGTGCAACACCTTTTCTCACTTGAATATATCTTATCCTAACAGCAAAGCAATAAAGCTAGACATTATCAATAGAAATATCCTACATGCTTTTATCGAAATAAACAAACACCTGATATCGTTAATCAGTAAACAGATTAAATTAAAGATATGGTTTACTTGATGAGACTTAGTATGTTTAACACGATTCAGCAGCATATTTAATTGTCCAAAGTAAAAATTATCTTAAAATACTCAATAAATAATAATATGAAATCATCATAAGTAAAATATCCAATTGAAACATGTCAGGGACTCTGAGCTTCCTGAAACATTATTTTGGATTTCTTTCTATCACTTAAAATGTATTGAATGAAAATTAAGGAACTAATGAGACAGACTACTTCAGGACATAAAAATAAAGAAAAGAAATTTAAATTCAATTTCCCAAGGGAATTGTTCTGGGATGGAAGTGAAATTTGAGATATCTAAACTTCGTCGAAATCATCAACAAAAAAGCTTTAATAATTTAATAAAAATCTTTTTTCTTTTTACCCATACACAAAACCGGTCTTATCAAGTGCCGATTTCCAACAGAGTTCACCATCCCACTGTGGGTTGATGAATTGTCTTCCTTCACTTTATTTATGACCAGTTTTATTTTGCTTTTATATTACTTATCTTTTGTAGTCAATATTCACTGATGATTTTTACTAGATTACTTTATGGAATTTTTGAATTTAGGTTTAATTGTCACTTAAGTAATCTAGAAAAAAATTCATTTAGTTAAGCTAAGGTGTTATATAAGCTTACATCAAAGGAGAAAGGGAGAAATGACCACACACATATATATATTTATGCATGCACATATATACACATACACACATACACACATACGTCTTTAATAACTGTCACCGCAACGGTGTCTTAACGTAACGGAGCCGCATTTTTTTAATGAGTTAGAGGTGAGTAATCGACAAGAGGTCGTCTTGGTATTTTAACCTGTCGTTTATGTCATCGTGATAGTTGATGTCGTGAGACCAATGTAACTTCGGTAGTGATATCGCTCTTTACATCCGATAAAGGAACTTCACGATGTATTGTTCAGCTTATTCTTCTGTAGTTCATTCTTCGGTCAAGTTCAACATTTTCTTGCTCTGTTGTACTTGTTCATTTCATTAAAATAATTATTTTATTAGTGCATAAATTTATAACCGATTCAAGCTAATACAAGGAAGCATTAATTTGCGTGTAGGAGCTCCTCTGCTTACTTTAGATGTACAAATAATAATGTAAATGACGTGATTATTTACGGTTATTTATAGCAGAGATGGTATCATCTGACTTGGGCGATTCTGGTCCAGAAGAAGGCAGAGGGTCCAATTCAAAACAAAGAAAGTATGTTAAATTCACTTTAAAATATAATTTGAATTAATTTATTCCAAACCTTCCTTCTCATCCCCGCCCACTCCTCCATATATGCTAATCATATTGATTCCAGGACAAAAGGACCTACCTTATATGAAATTTTGGGTATTACAAAGAATGCGTCGGATGATGATATCAAGCGCGCGTATAGGAAACTAGCCTTGAGGTACCATCCTGACAAAAATTTGGAGAATGATCCGGAGAAAACTGAACGCGTTCGTTTTGTGAACTGATTTCACTTAGAGTGACAGATAGAAATAGATGACTGTTAAAGTATAACAAAGCTATATATTTCCGTAAATTACTGATATTCAAAAATTCTGATTACTTTCCATTATCCTTCAGTTTAAAGAAATCAATCATGCACATGCTGTACTTTCGGTACCAACAAGACGTAAAGTATATGATGAATATGGAGATATGGGTCTGAAGTTGATGGAACAGTTTGGTGATGACGGTGCTGTGATCGGTTTAGCTTTCAAGCCCTGGTTCAAGGTAGGTTTTATTCCAAAGAAAAAAATTTAATTTATTAATGAATTAGTAAGGTGTTCGTAATTATCAATGTTTATCTTCCAATGAACGAAATATTTTGAGGTGCTAAGTTTCATTTTCATATCTGATTATGTTGTTGTTGTTGTATACCTGAAACATGAGTTTATTTCATACCAGCAGTACGAGTACGACACTCATCGAGAAGTCGTAATTAGAAACTTAAAGCCGTATGTAGACAAATATAAATTTCTCATGAGAAATAATGATTTGTTATGTCTTTGCAGTGGATGTTCATTATCTGTGGACTTTCGACGTGTTGCTATTTCTTTTTTTGTTGCGGCTGCATGTTTTGCTGCAATTGTTGTTGCAACTTCTGCTGTGGCAAATATAAATCAAAAAGATTTGATGAGGTCTGCTATTGTTTCTGTTGAAACATTATAATGGATTGCATTAAGGATTTTTTTTGCTGAAGTATCATATTTGAATTAGTAATGGAGATTTTAATCATTCAGGAAGAAGATATCGAAAAAAGTGATGTAGAACAGGAAGCAGATGGAAATGCCTCAGTGATTGTTGATCAGCCAGAAGAATCGAATATATTGCCGAAAAGTGTAATTTACCTACATTTTTATTCTAAATTTTGTAATTTATTTCGATTTTATTCCATATACCCTTTTGCACTAGATTCACATTCCTTTTCAGACGAAAAGCAATGAAAATCTAGGAAGTGCTGAAAACTCAAATGAAAAGTTACGTAATCACCTTACAACATATCCAGTCAATCGTACAACTGGTGAAGCTGGTCCTGATAATTAAATGTTCTGACCTCAGGTTAATGTGTACATTTAATTACCTAGAATGTGCTGACATTGATTAGCTGGAGTTCCATTTGCTTGGTTGCAGAAAAAAGTTCCAAAACCACAAAAATGATATTCTTTCTCAGTTTGCATTGTTGCAAAATCTTTGCTGATTGTAATTTATGCTTGGAAGTATTTTAGAAAATGGTGCTAAGATAGTGTTTATAGCAAAAAAGTTCTGCGAAGGTTCGTAAAGTAAATATGAATCATACATTTCATGCTCAAATAAAGGCAGTGGTTAGATGAATTATTTGGGAAAGTCATTTTTACCGGTTTTTGCAATTTAATGTTATTTATTCTCTTACTTTTTTACAGAAGCATATAAAGGTTAGTGCTTTTATTATCTTTTCATTAGTTTTCACTAGACAGAGCTTAATTTTCCTATTTTTTCTGCTTGTTCCAGATTATTATAAATGTGTTCATGGAAGATTTTCTCCATATTGGATTTTCTCCGCTTTTCTGATCAGGAATGAATTAAATGATTCTTTTCGGAATTGTTTGTTTTAAATGCTTCATTCATTTTCGTTTAACCGTTCAAGTGTGTGTTTGTTCGTGTTTTTATCTTTGACTGATAATAGCAGATCTCATTAGCTTGTAATACCGAGAGAAAAAATCGATTTGGGAAGACTAAATTTATCCTTATCCACTAATCGGATTCTTGGGATTGAGGCAGATATGGCATACATGCGAATTTTTAAATTCATTGATGTCTCAGTTCCATCTATTTGTGTGACACACAATTTGTGTTTGTTTGTCTCCGATTAGTTGTTTTATTCAAGAGGTAGTGTGAAATTCATTTTTTGTTCGAGAAAAATTTCAGGAATGTTTTGCACCGTTGTGACTCTTTGATTAAGATTTAGGTTTCTCGTAGGTTATTTGTCTGATTTGTTGCGATTTCCATGCTTCTGAAATACTTGTTTTCAAGTATTTCTCTCAATCATTTGCTCACATTCTCTGTAAATATATGCATTACTAATAGTGATGTTCTTTTTCTTTTTTTTTCTGTTAGCATTACTCTACATTACATTCGAGTTCTAGGAAAGTAAAGCATTCTGAAGATCTCGTGTAATTAATATATTCCAAATTATAGATAACGAATTAAATCTTATTAGATCAAAATTATTTCAGCAGAATATGTTCCTCTATTCGTTTGTGTGGGTAGACAAGAGAATACAGTGATTAATGAGTATTAATGAAAAGTGTTAGCGACAAACAGTTGGGAAAAATGTATAGAACTCAGAAGAAGAAGACATGGCAAGTATTTCGTATTGGCGTTAAATAAGGATGGCGCAAAGGAGGAAAATATGCTTGAGTCGTGTAAGAATGAGTTGGCAAAGAGTAGAAATTGATCGATAGCAAAATTGAAAATAAATCATTCCTAAATTTTAATTTGGTTAATGTGAATATATTATCTACTAAAAATTTGAAACGATGAGTTAATTCCAATAATTAACTTATCGTTGCCTTCGTGATTTAATTTGTGTGCTATATCATATATTTCAGTAGCATAACTCTGACACTAACACATTCTTAGCTATCTTTTTGTTACCCATTAAAGAATCAGTTAATTTGTCACATAATATTGTTAGGGATGTGTTACTTTCCAGTGCCTTATTGCTGTTTAGGAAAGTATCAATTTCTCTATAAATTCAAGTGTTTTGCGATTATATTCTTTTTCTCCATTATTATCATTGAGGTTGTGGATCCTGAATTAATCATAAATAATATTTTGCAACAAGCGAACAATGAACAAGGCATTTAATGATAATTTGTATTACGCGACATAATAAGAACCAAAGGGTATCGTGATAAAATTACTGCTGCATGAATTTCTCTTTTCACAATTTTCTGGAGGGTTTTCAATCGCTTTCGTTACATTGTGAAACAAGCTTACGCATTTTAAATACGATTAGTAGGAACCAAATTACAAAGATGAAACGGGAGGAGTGTAAATCCTGACTCAGTCAGGTAAGTAAATACATCACAGCATTTTGGTCGGATGTTCTCAGAATTGCATGGTTTCTGGATTCAAGCTAACTGAGGTTAGAATTTTAGAGTGATTATTCGATGATAGCTACAAAATAAACTTGGGTTCGCATGTTCTTACAAGTCTATCGATGTTATCAGGTGGTGCGGTCGGTATTTCACTAACGGATGGGATGTATATCCTTGTTGGACAGTAGTGAATGGCTTGGATTTTCCACATCGATAATCTTATATATCTTCTTTACTCAATGTTAGGTAATCTTTGTTATTGGAAGGTTGCAGTGTACTTAACTCTGTAATTGTTGATGCATCGAGCGGTTTCAGAAAATTCCTTCTGGTATAATTGTCACCTGAATCTTTTGGCTTTTGTGTATTTAGTGTTTCACTGCTTATATTAAAGCTAACATCTGAATGCAGTGCGATACGTTCGGATGGTATATTGACGATACACTTCAAAAAGTCCATTCTGACTGGTAATATTCCTGAAATTTCAATAATTAGCAATTTTGTTGGTTTGTGATAACTCTAATATGTAAATTTTCTGACTCAAAATCTCAGATGATAAAATGGAAAGTTCCCGAATTGAAACAGTTAAACAAAGTGACCTAGCTTTTCCTAGACGAACAGTTTTGAATTATGTTATCTGGGGTTTTGTAACGGTTTCGGTGAATCAGTTAGATCATCTAGGAAAAATAGTGCGGAATTTTCCAAAGATGAAACTAACCATTTACGAATAAATATTCGGAAAGATAAGAAATGCCAATGCAAGCGATGAATGAGCCCAGCATGGCCATTGTTCGAAACGGGAAGAACTGAGTTCCTAATATCGTACCATCTTCCTTGGTCACTTCTTCGTACATGGGATAATGGATAAGTGCCGGAAAGGAAAGAAGTGGCTCACCTCCAGATAACCTCAGCAATAATCCCACTGCAAATGAAAAAGTTTTTTAAACCATACCTCTCAAACATGTTAAAATTTTCCATAATTTACACAAATGTGCGGCACATTGATTCTACTTAGTTTCTAGAAGCTTAGTAAGTGTTACGTAATTAATTTCGGAAAACTTGGCAGATACTGGGCTCAAGAGATTATAACTCAGCATGTTTCGTTTCATTATCATTCCAAACAAATAAGCTACAGCAGCAGTTGAAACCAACCGATATAACCACTGATGGATCCGTAAGTATTGGAATGCTTGAAATATACAACACAAACAAGTTGCGGAAAAAGTATAACGTAGACAAGATCTGCACACAGGTACCATAAGCCGTAAATGCTATTTATTGTGAGTGCCATTAATGTTGCACAAAATCCAACTGCAATAATTGCAATACGCATCACGCGTATCACTTCTTCTTCATGAGCCTGAAAAAAAATTTAAGTGGCTACATTCCCTTAGTACGATGAAATGAAAAACCTACATTTGGTCGGATAGCTAACTTCCATATATTATGTGCAAACATGGATGCTGCTGAAAGTACCGATGAATCAGCGGACGACATTACTGCAGCCGATACTGCACCAAGTCCTGAAATTTATGTCTTAGCTGAGATTGCAATGCAAATTTGCAAATACTTAACTGATGTACAATAAAAGTGAAATTTTTGTAAAATTTAATCTAAACATACCTGCTAAATTTTAAATTTAATATTAAACTTGCCAATGAATGCAACCCATTTGGGGGTCAGATACTGGAAAACAAGCGGCACAACCATGTTTGTCTGATCAGCAGGAATTGATTCGCTTTTTGTGCCATTATTCCATGGGTCGTAGTCGGTCAACCTCCAATCTATAAATTTATTCTTTTAAATTACAATATTCTTCCATAAACTCAACTTCAGCAGAAATGGAGTAATGTGAAGCAGCAATAACATCATCACTAAAAATCAAATGCTGACCAGTATTTCGAGCAATGGCTCCGATTAAGGCAGGTGGTATAGCCATCAAAATACAACCGACACCTGCTATAAATGATAACTTCTGTGCACCTGATGATGATTTCGATGATAGTACTCGTTGAAAATATACCTTGAAATTATATAATTCTATTGTTTGTCTACTTAATATGAGTGGAAGCGGAAAAACTTGATCTAGAAAAAAGCATACTCATAGATTATCCTCTGATTATTACCAAAATAATCAGAATTAACCTGACACACTGCTGAATTTAAAATTTTAAATCAAATAAAACTTGATGTTTTTCTTGGAATTTAAAAGCTAAAAGTAAATAGCCAACTGTGATGGAAACCAACCTGCCAGGGAATACCACCAAAAATAAGTAGCAACATGCAGTCTATCCAAAGTGTCGTTTCCTTAAAACCACCAATGGTACCAATCCAGTCCGCTGCATTCCTCGATATATCTTTTGTTTTATCTTGCAACAATGATGCTGGTACACAAACCCACTATAAATCATTAATTGCATTGTCATATAGTCTTTTTTTCTTCTCTTAGTTTTAATGTTTTCATCAGTCCTAGATTATAACAGAAGATCACTGAAACTATTTTGAACAGGTTTGTTCTTTGACCTCTAAAAGGGGCAATATTAACCGTCGGAAATTTATTTTGAATTTATCTGCCAGTTTAGATGCTAATGATTCCAGTTGTTTGGTTGTTACTAGTTAACATTTGCAAAATTGTTGCCAATTGCTTACAAAATTAAGTGGAAGCTGTCACACCCATTAATAAAATCAATGAATTTTAAAAATGTGAAGAATTTCCTAGAATTCTTTTTATCTAAATAATTCGGCTTATCTATAACAAACCAATCCAACGAATATGCAAAATAGTTGTACAACATCCGTGTATGCAACAGCGTATAAACCGCCAGTGAAAGTATAAAATACAGCAATTATTGCTGATATTATTACTGATAATGTCATATCAATCGCCAGAATCACTGATAATGTTGCTCCTGAAATCGAACAATGATGAAAACTTTATAAAAAAACCATTTGCAGCATTCCCTTCTTCAGTGTACAAGACGGAGCTCTTTTAGAAAAACATGCAATTTAATTTAAAGATTCCGTCATAATTTGTAAACTAACCAAGAGCTGATAAAATTGCAGCTGTCCAGAAAACTTCTCCGAAAAGGGCAGGAATGAACAAAAGACCACCAACTCTTTGGCCATATTTCATCTGCAAGAACAAAAATCAAATAAGGAAAATTGTAACATAATTGTCATTTATCTATGACCTGATCCAAAAATATTTTGTTAATGATTATTTACGTAAACTTAAAATATTTAACAATGGTCATTAAATTGCAAAAAGTTTATTTAACAATGATCATTAAATTGCAAAAAGTTTAATTGACTTCATAAATTTAGAATTTTTTATGGAAATAAGAGAATGTTATGATTTTTTCGATCTTTGGCAACTTAACAACGAATAAATCCCAAAGGATACCTGGAATGGATCCAACATTGTGATATAACCTTCATCACGCATCTTCTTTGCAAAAAGTATGCCACCAATGACTAATGATAATGCATAACCGAATGGCGCTTGACATCCCAGAAGACCACCATTGTATAACGCTTCTGCGGTACCATTAATATAAGCTCCACCAACCCAGGTTGCTGCAAAAGAAACCAGGGAGAATTGTTTAAATCGAAGTGATACTTGCTAGGAAGGAAATAATGATTCAGAACGTTATGAGAGCAAAACCTATAAAGGACAATGAAGCATCCTTGTTGTGAACATGATATAGCTTTAATTTATCAGTGTTATCGCGTTGTTCAACTTGAATTTTAGTCCAAAATGTTAAAAATTTTTTCATAGTAAATTCCTTGAAGTTTCCAATATCTCGTTCTCTGTTGGTAATTTAAAAAAGAAAAAATTTGAAAAGGAACGTCAATCTGGGAATCTAAAATCAGCCTAGTCCAATATTAATTCAATTTTTGCCTCCCACTCTCTCACCCAGAATTGTTGAAAAAATTTTTAAATTTCTCATCGATATATCCATTATGCTTAAAATTTGAAAGTATAACGTAAAGTTAAAAGTATCATAGAATCTGCTGTCTTGAACAAAAAATTTGTTGATGATCAAAATATATTTTTAAAAATGTGAAAGCCAATAAAAAAGAATTAAGCCATTTTCTTTCAGACATTATTACTGAAGAGATTATCAAAAATGTTTAAATTGTCAATAGCCTTTAAAAATTTATTATTATTATTATTAATTTTAGCAACAAAGATTTTTTTCCTCTACATGATTGTTCGTTCCATTTTTCCTAACTTTATTAACAAAGCATGAATAATTTAAGGAATAAATTTTTCGGAGTAAATTAGTAGATTTGAATCCAAAAGATGACTGATAAACAAATTCAATTCATACTAGATTTTTTTATGTTGCTCTAAAATTAGAAAATGAAATCAGCGACAGCTAAAAAACGACCATAAATTTTGTCATTAGATTATTTTTGTAGAAATTGCTGTATTAATCGAAAATAATAAATGAAGCAATAATTGTATATTTAATTTACTGAACTGAAGCATTTCTAAATCCAATCATATTTGGTGACATATGCCTAATACAAGTCTTCGCTTGTTTTTCACACTTAAATTGAAATTATCAACATTTCTTCATTTCATTTAACAGAAGTATTGCTACTTTCATGATTAATTTTTCGCCCGAAATCAAAAACTAATTCTATGCTTTGATACAGTGTACATACACTCCCACTTTTCCTCTAAAAAATCTTTTTTCCTACTGTACTGCTATTCAAAATTTTGAATTGAAAAAGAAAAAACAAATAGTTTGCGAGTTTTTGCTTTTTATCACGAACTAATAGAAAGAAATAAATACTTTATGAAACGGTGTGTACCTTAATTAAGATATCAATTGTATTGCAATATAGAATAAGTTTTGTGAATAATGAAAACTTTAAATGACCTCAAAATATTTCTTCGTATTCCTCTTTATTAACAAATTTCTTAATATCTGCTATTTTCTTAGAAAAGATAGTTTTGAAGTTTGTTTCATTCTAAAATTGTCGAATTATTATTAATAAAATTGATGGAAAAACAATATCCCCAGTCATCAATGTTCACTTCTAAAAAAATTTTTAATTCTAACTGAACTTTAACTCTAAATGACAAAATAAGTATACACATTAAATCTACCGGTGAAAGGTTTTAAAAATAATCAATAAGATTTGCTTTGCACGTTACGTCACTGTTTCCTCTCCAATTATCAGTTTGAAAAAATCTCACAAGGGAATGCTTACTGCAGAATTTTTAAGTCCATTTAGCAGTGGTTACTAAAGTTAATTTTCAAACATGGAACTAGCTTTATCAGCTTTTTGCCAGCCTATTTTTTTTTTTTTTTGCACTTTAGATCTAAAATTTTCTTATGATTTAGTATGCCTGGAAAATGTCACTGTTATTTCTCATTACAGAGGAGGATTGTAATGATTTCAAGTAAGGTTATTACATGAACTATAACTTAAAAAGTTAATTTATTCGTTTGTCTGGAGCAGAAAAGAAGAAAACAAAAAGTTGGAGTATAAGTGAGATGGGAAAAGGAATAGACGATTTGTATATCGAATGGGAATGTTGGTTAATCATGCAAGAGTTATGTTTCTAGGCGCATTCAAAATTTGCACATCTTCCAAAATCATCCTCTCTATATATCTACTGATGGTATTTGCTAGCTGCTATTGCTGCTGTTGTTTTTATTACTGCAAGTGGAAATAGAAATAAAATCGTAAGAATTGATCGCTTGCAGTTGAATTGTTTTCCCATGAGATATTTGAGATTTGCTAAAGTCGTTTACCACATATGCCTTCTAAAAAGTTCAATAGTAACAACTAAAACATACGTATGCTATACATATACATATGTGTGTACATGGATGATATCTATATGTTCTGAAAGCACAATCCATTTCGTTTCTTATTCCAGCTTCAAAAACCGAATATTCTTTCCTCTCAATTCTAGCTAAAGGTGACTTCCATCAAATTTTACATTTTATTTACAGCTAAAATCCTTGGAGAATAATAATTTGTATAAAATGTTTTTTCATTGATCTATCTTTTTCTTTCTAAGAAAGAAATTTTTAGGAAGGTGAAGGAAATTTTTAGCGTATACTGCTTCTTTAAACACTGAAAGTTTGTCGTTGTTAAAAAATTAATTTTCGGAATATTTGATTTAAAAAACTCAGATTTTGAAATAAAGAACTGCTCAATTAGAATGAACATATGACGCAGTAATTAATTGAAAACTAAAAATCATTAAATTATGGCTGCATTCATTTCATTATTGAATAAATAAATGAATGATATAAATAAATGAAAGAAATGAATGAATGAGTGTCCCTAAGAAATTGCTGAAAACCTTCCCATTACTTTGTTTTTAACGAATTAAAATGGGTGCAAGTTCTCAAATAGCCTTCCTTACACAGTTAAAATTTAATTTTACTGATGACTGAAATTTTAACCCGTCCATTAGAGCACAAATATTCATACTCATTCATACTCATTTATCTACAGCAATTATTTTCCTTTGATTTAGAAATAATATGTGTGGAACATTCTCAGTATTGAACAATTCATTCATTTCATCCAAAACAACGTATGTTTTACTGCCAGTTATATCAAAAATATGGTTTATTTATTGCCTGAATTTAAAGATAGACATATGATACTGAAATAAATATTTTCAAGCACTGCTAGAAAATATTTTTTGATACTTCCAATTTACATGTGAAGTGCTTATTACACATACTGACGATAAGTTTCCAAACAAGCTTTTTTTACAATTGCAGTGCTTGATTTTGGGAATTCTCAGTACTCAGTCAATAAAAGAGAATGGATAACTTTTCTAGTCAAATACTAACTTTAAAAAAGTAGTTTAAATGTTTTATATTGACAACTTAGCAATGAAATTAAAATTTTTCATGTTCTCTGACTGTCATACAAATATTTCAAACACTGAAGATGAAATTATAAAATCTGCTGCATATTTTTTTCAAATAAAAAAATAATTTCGAATTTTTTAACAGCGGAAGAAGTTACATCAGTCAGTGTGCAGCTTTTTTCGGAAAAGATCATTAGCCTTTTCATTTAACGAAACTTAAAATTTTATCACAAGAAATCGAAATTATGAAAACCATGGTAATTACTGATTATTTCTAAAACTTGAGAATTTCAAGAAAAAGCAGTTATATGATTTTACAGTGCAAAGAGAGGATAGCAACGATCAATTCATGCATGAAATTATTTAATTTCGTGTTTAATCGTTTCATTTAATTTAATTTCCTAAATGCTCTAAAACGTTTGAATATCCAAAATTAAAAATTTACCAGTCATGGTGAAGATACCCACTAAAGTACCAATATTTCGTCCTGCCAGCATAACTTCTTCAGTTTGTTCACCATCGATGGACATTGCGTTGACATCTTTCGCTTTCCTTCCAGCCCAAATGCCAACAACAAGAATCAACAGATAGAAGAATATAATAGCCACAATGCCCAGATAATCAATCATTTTTTTAAATTTACTGTTGACAAGCAAGAGTACCACTCTGATGTAATCTTTTCGTTTTTCCTGACATTGATTTCTTTTTCGTATTCTATAATTGCTTTATCAAAAGTGCAGACAACAACAGACTTATATAATTTTAGCATTCATTTATATCTTTAAAGAGCGAAATTGCCCAACAAATCGGTCCTGAGATTAATTAACCATTTCTAAATGAGCAAGAGTGATTATCACGAGAATCCATCGTATCGAAAATTGTTTAAATTTCTGCTTGATAAAGCTAGATTAATTTAATAACAACAAGTTTGCAATCTAAAATGTTTTCAGTATTCTTATAAATTCTAAAAAAAATGATGCGGAATCATTGGGTTCTTTTGAATTAGATCAAATTCTTTTTCAATATGCCCAATTTACATTTAATATACAAACATACAATTAATTTATATTCGATTTATACGAAAGAAAATTGAAGTTAGCGTGATCCCATACTATAAATATTTAAGGGCAAAACAATCAGTTCTATTGAAATCCGCATTTTTATCAGCTTTAAAATCTTTCCATTTAGTTTTTTCTCCATTTCATGGCTTTAAGCATACAGATTTCTTGAATTCTTCAATATGTATGTCTCTTTTTAAAAAATTTAGAGCAATTTTCAAAAGGGAAAGCATGAATGATATTCCTAAGTTCATTAAAAAGTTCATAATTGTTGTTAAAATAATTGCTGGTTAATATTTTCATAACATTTCATATCTGATTTTTGATGAATTCCAAAACAGGGAAATATCCTCCCCTTTCCATCCATTTTCTAACTCTTAGTAGCCGTTTTGAGAAAAAAATTCTCATTTTAAGCTAAAAATGTTAGAATTCCACAATAATTACTAATCAGCAATTATTTTAGTAGTAGTCATCTAAGGGAACCATCACATTTGACAAGAAAAATTTTTAACTTGCACTAACAACAGCATATACATCATCTTCCGTTGAATATAAAAGCTGAACACGCTTAAATCATGCCTTGTTCTGATGACCGTTATTACTAATGATGGGTATGTCGCTGTTTTCATTTATAATAAATTAACAATTTGCATTTAAATTTTTACGAAGCAAACATCTGAGCATTAAAGAATGAATGCGTTAAGTTAAATATGGGAAGAATTAATTAAATCCAATAAGCACTATAAGCAAAATAAATAGGTATTATTTTGATTTGTGTGTAAGAAGTTTACATGAATTATAGTAATATTTGAGACCATTTCATTCTTCTGACAATAAAAGTAGATAATGGTTCAAAAATAAACAATTCATACCCGAAAAAATCAATCAGTTGCTTAGATACTTGGCAAACAGAAAAAAATCGAAGAAAAGAAATTTCTGAATTGCGCATTTGAAAACAAATGAGAACTTTCTATTTACCAAAATCAGAAACTGAAAAACATGAAAGTAATTAGCTTGATTCAAGCATTTCTTTGTTTTTTTTTCTTTTCTACTAAATCGTTACTACACTTTTAGGAAACTTTGAAATCTACAAAATTAGTGTAACATTTTTAATGATTTTGTATAAAAATGCAAAAACTTTATAATATGGTAATGGAAGTGTATTTTAGAAATGAACTGGAATTTTAGTAAAAAGATATCTCTGAAACCTTCAAACTGGTAATTATGACAAAAGTAGTGTTGTTAAAAAAAATATTTCGCTTAATTTCTGGTGCAACATTTCAAAAAGAAGTTAAGAATGGAATGAAAAATCATAATGATGGTGGTTGATTTGAATTATTTAAGTTTGAATAATCGATCAGGAAAAAAAAAGTTGAAAGGATTGTTGTATTTCAAAGAGAGATGGACATTTATGAATGATCATTGAAATGTTGAGATTCTCTCAACGAAACTGATGAATGAAAAATTTTTGGAATGATTTAGCCAGGGAGAATGAGTGGTTGCGGTGAACGAAATACTCATTGCGTCAGTGTCCCGTCCCGTCCATCAATGCTTCGCTAACTGAAGGAGTAGGCTTCAACGTCCCAAAGAAAGGGACTCTAATGAGGTGAAGCTTGAGCTAGTCCTTCCAAGGCACAGCTCCGCCTTTTTTCTTTTATTCAGCTCTTCCTTCTTTCCCCCATTTTTTCATCCGTGAATCTCATCCATTGTCAAGCTATTTCTATCCTTCTCTATCATTTTCTAAGTACCACTAGTCAGATAATAATGAAAAATGAGATTCATATATACATATATGTATATGAACTACTAATATCAACGCTAAAACATTCAAGGGGAATAAATGCCGAAATGTATTATTTCACTCCTTTATATTTTATTTTATAAACAAAGGAGGATAATTCTTTTCCTTTTGTTTTTGACCCTTCTGGACATCATTTTCAGAGAGATCAAAAGATAAAGGATTATTGCATGATACAATGATGATATCATTTTCCGAGGATATTTATTTAAGACTAATCTACGGGAATGCAAAGGAGTAGATAATAATGGATCGGGAATGAGGAAAGAGGAAGAAAAATCTGTGTGCAGTAAATGTAAGAGGTGGTAAGCAGGAAAGCAGCTTAAGGAAAGGAAGAAAATGCCTCAGTGATGATGTATCTATCCCTTTTTGGCTATTCCAATTCAATTATTCCATTCAGCTCAACAGCATTTTAAAATGCTTCTTCTAGCCTGAATTGTTTACCATTAAAGAAAATCACTTATTAGTAACGGTAGCAAATGATTTTTTTGAGAACTTCTAACTTCTAACCAATGATTTAAGTAATTTTATTTTCTGCTCTTATTCATTCGACCTTTACACAAAGTTCAACCTTTTTCTTGGATTCAATTCCAGTAATACGCGCTAAGTTTCACTTCAGCCCATTAAGAAATTCTAGCCTTAATCTTTCAACCAATTGCAAATATTGTGTTAAAGAATTGAAAGCTCAGAAATTCCACTCGAAAGAATCAAAAAAAAACGCAACCAGCGTTCTAGAGTTTCTGTCATCCTCTTTTATCGCATTCAAGTGATAACAACATCTTGATCAGTGCCTTCTCATTACACCTACCAATACCATTCTTCTATGCACAGTTTCATTTCATTTACAACGCTTTTTCATATGATAACTTCAGTAGAAGTTGATATGTAATGCTCACGGTCACAGGATTGTTTACGTCTTTAAATATCGTAATGAGGAATCGTGATTTTTTTGACTTATCCTATTGAAAGATAAAAAAGACTCACATACATAAGCATAACACACAGACACACACAAAAGAACCAATTTATTTATAGACGGTAAAGTGAAAGAACTCACACGCATGTCTTAATTGGGTACTAATATGACTGAGTTGTTAGCTGATGAAGTATATCTATACAAATCCAAATTTCAAAAGATTTATATGGGAAACTGCACAGAAAAAAAAAAACAGCGAAAGATATTACAACGAAGAGGGAACAACGAAGAGCTCCACCATTTCGAAAAAATTCAAACAAGCTGATTGGAATGCAACTGGATTGCTGAGATAACAAGCATGTCCTGCTGACGGTATTCTCAAAAGCCTGAAAAAAGATTGAAATAAAACGATTACATCGGTCAGTACGAAATTTAAAAATTACGAGATCAAACAGAAATAATATCTATCAACAGGTTCCTTCACCAAGTGATTATCGAACTTTGCATTTAGTATTTGAATTTTAAGTCAGAAAACTTAATTTTACATTCTGCTTATATAGAAGAAATAGTATACAGATAAAGAGGGGAGAAGTTTTTTAAAAGTTTAGATTTGGCAAATAAGTGCGCAAACTTCATAAGACCTGGAATTGGGTAATTTACTGAGACTAGAGGCAGCACTAGGTCCCAGGCTGGTGTCACTTTCACCCCACACTACTAGCACTGATGTCCTGATAGTTTCGGGAGCTGCCGGCATCACATTTGTGTTTGACAACGCAACTGCAACAACGCAAGTTAACCAACTTGTTCCAAGCAATGGGATGATATATTGTCCGGCCATACTATGTCCAATAACTATGACCTGCAACAAAAAAAAGCAAACTGAACAAAAGAAACTCGATTTGTTAAGCAATTATAGAAATCGTCCTTTAAAAAATTTAAACTAAAAAAATCTGTTTTGATTGAAGGAAGCAGCAAAAATTTGTGGTAAACGTTTTTGATCACAATATTCTCTTCTCTTCTTTCAGAAAAAAAATTACAGTTTCAAGTTCAAGGGCACGCATAGCAAGAGGAATTATTTCGGCTTTTTCAGAATCCGGAACTGTAGGTCCACCAGTTTTACCACAACCAGGCATATCAAACGCCAAACATCTGTATCCAGCAGCAGCGAAAATCTAAAGGGCAAATTATAAGGTTCATCAATATATAATTTTCTAACTCATTCACGAAAATGAATTGCTTTTAGAAATGACAATGGATGTAAGAAAACTCATCCAGAATCCAATATCTCAAAACGACCTGCATCGTAGAATTTTCTTGCCATGTTGCTGATGAAAACGACTGGCCATGAATTAGCAGAATCGTTCCCTTGTAAATAACTTCTCGAGGAGGAACCGTTTCTCGAAAAAATAATTCGTATCTCTGGAAAAAGCAGTATTTTTGGGAAATAGTAAAACCATTATTAATTAAACAAATCTAAAAAATTAAATTTTACTCTTGAGTAATTAATTGTCGACTCCTGCACAACGATGAAATTAATCTTTTGAAATAAAAATTGCATAAATTTAGTTCCACTTTCCTATTAATAATTGCCATATTATTGCGAGTAAAAAAAGAAGGTATGCTTTCAACCAAGTATAGATGGAGGGAATTAGAATATGAATCAATCTTTCTCACTCCTCAACCAAAATTCTGCTAATTTTTGCAAGCGATAAAGAGGAAATTACTTAAATAAAAGTTAAATTGAAAAAAATTTTAAAAAAAGTTCAGAAAACATTCGTGTTACATAAGTCAGTATCAGAAAATCATATTGATGAAGAAGGAAAAGTTCTCACTATCAAAAAAAAAGGAAAAAGGAAAATAATTAAATATAGCGCGAACCAGAAACATTTCTACTTTCGGAAAACAAAATGCAAATTTAGTTAAATTAAAAAGCCAACCCACAAATTTAATTTTTTTTGGATCTATATGAAATCAAGTATTTAATTTTTTGAAACTTGTTAAACTCTTCCAGTAAAAGCTTTAAATGACTAATAGCACCATGAAAATAATAAAGAAATCCTGAGAAAACTTTCTGATAATTCTAACAGCAGTGGAATTGATCATTAACATACAGCACATCATTGCAAAAAGATATTCAAATTATGACGAAGTAGCATTTAGATTATGACGGTATTATATACATTTCGAAATCTCTACTCCATTCGCTAAGCTTTACTTTATTGGCGTAAAACCATTCTTGAAGCTACTCTGACCAAGCTATTTTACTGGAACTTTGGTGACCAGTAAGTGATGGGTAGAACATCCTCCATACAAGCACAAAAACTTACTCCAGCAAGAAGATTTCCTTCGGTTGGTCTGACTGTCTTTGAACGCCACAATACTTTTTCCGGAATCGGCTTTTGGAAGTCAGTTAATCGCACGGTAGAATGTGTGTAGGTATCCATAAACTAAGTAATAATCCATAAGCCTCACGGCTCTCCATAAATAATCAGTAAGTTTTACTCGTAGATTCCTCATAAGTAATCCATAAGCCTTATAGCTTTTCGTAAAAACTTAGTTTATGGATATTTATTCGCATTCTACCATATACGTGAATCAAACTAAATGGTCAAATAAAGTTTGATTCACTTACACACCCTCTCCATGTAAGAGAATCGAACTCTCTTTTTGACCATTTAGTAAAATGAATTAGGGAAAAGCTTTTGATAAAGTCAAGAACTAATACCATCGAAGTAATGTTGTGTAATATTACATGATACAAACAGTAGTAGGCCACACATTGGTGATCACCTTTATGTTATAGGTTTTTGAACGAAGTTCAGAATTAAGCAAGGCAAATCTTAACCGAAATAAAAACCTTTCAAAAAACATTGAAACCAGAGCATCGGTAATCCTTACCATTGGGATTTTAACTAATGGATGTCATATGCTCCAAAATATTCGCTCATTTGACAACGAAAAACAGTAAGATATCTCGACAAAACGGGTGATAACAGATTCTTTACAAGTACTTCATCACATTGAATAACTTTCCCCCAGGAGATCTGATAAATCATCGACATAATTCCAATTACAAACTTTAGATGAGAAATTCATTTTTACAATACAATGTTTCACTTTAGTTCACATGTTGCGATAAATTTCATAAATCTGTCCATCACAAAGTAACTGGAAGTTGAGCAATAATGAGTTAATTCATTGCTTCACCAAATTTTTTTGTTTTTCCAACAACTAGTCATGTTATCTTTTAAATCCAAAGATCATCCCAATCAAAACAAAAAATCTGTCCACATCAATTACACACAGAGTGCAAAATGATTAACTCTTAAATATTATGATTCCACCGCCATTTTCCTTTCATATAATCAGGGGCATAAAGTAGTGACGTACATGGGTGTTGCCCTTGCACCTCACAAATACATTCCCTCTTACATTTTTTCCCAAATAATGCTTGGTCGGTCCTTAACATTTTTTCCAAACGTTCTTGTCTCAACGAAACTTTCGTTTTACCCAAGGTCGTTCGAAACATTTCCTCAATTTCTTCGCGGGTCTTATCTTCTAAATCGAACAGCACTTCACGACCATCATCTGCAATCTCCACTTCACTAAGAAACCACAGAAATTTTTGACATAACTTATTTCGTAGTCTCTCCATTCTTATCGTAATATCAAAAACAAATACAAAAAACTTTTAAGTTATGCAACATGGTCGGAGGGCAGTACACTATATGTGATAGCAATAAATAAGTTACAACTTTTACTTATGACAAGGAATTAGTGAATTAGTTAACAACAAAAAAAGAATATGATCTTTAAATTCAGTAGTGGTGTATAACGTCATTTCACAAATTGTGTTTTAGAGAGTTGAAACCCCACAGAATGACGAAATTTTTTAAAGATACCTAAAAAAGCCTTCCCAAAGGGTACAACGCTGATGTTCGTAAACCGCACCAGCTGAACATAGGGGTTACTGTATTGCAGTTGAGCCCAGTGCCAAAAAACAAAGTCTATCACACCCTTATGTCGCCTATCGTCTCGTGGAAATCGTTTATAACCAATAGCAAATATCTGAAAACACATACCTAAGCAAAATGATTCCAGTTAATATTCCGAGATGATGGGAGTCATTCATGAATTCCTCATTTGGACATAAAAATCATTTGCCTGTTTAAACAATTCAAAAATATACAACGAGAAAAAAAGAAAAACCAACCTTTACACAGTCTCTGAATTGTATTGTACCTTGTTGAAGATAGAGATATGTACGCCTTAACGGCACCGTGCCAAGTTTAAATGACATCAGAAAGAAGTAATGGGCCTTGGTAACCGCCCAAGCAAACACTCGGTGATGCAAAACTGCACGCACAAAACTGAATCGCATTTAGTACACAGTAAATTTTGTTCCGCAACACAAAAAACATAGTACACTGCTAATGTTATACCACCATATGTTTCTCAGTTTTAATCCCAATCAAGTTACGAAACTTCCTTATGTCAGTTTTTGCCATGAAAACATCAGGAACTGGGAAATACTTCCCTATTCGGTATAACCGTTTAATTACATTAGTTGCGAGTGATTTTTTTAATGTCATGTACAAACAAGTCACAAAACAATATATGAAGCAAATAGCTGGACAACAGCAAAACAATTCTACTTTCTTAATAAACGATAGAAAATCATTACTGACCAATTACGTTAGCCAAAACGAGTCAATAACTAAAACAATGGTTATAATAATCACAGAGCTCCTAAACTTGATAGAACCCAACTCCACTATATTAGGATGAAATCAGATCGTCAATAGGTTTAACAAATACAAAATTAAAAGTGTGCTTGCGCCTACTGGAGTAATCTATCCATACGTCGTAACCACAATTCAACATTATTTGCATAATACAATTGTTTTGTGATAACAGAATATGCAAGAACATCAGCCAGCGTTGCAGAAACATTTGGAACAAGATAATCGTGATAACTTAAAGCAGTACTCATATGACGACATAAATTATCTTCATTACTTCTATTTGACAGCACATCATCTATTAGTAGCAGCCAGTAATCTATATGAGTACAGATATCTGCATGCACCGGAGTCGTTGGATAAAGCAAGATCAATGCACCCAGTAACTTCCAAACTAAAATATGCTCTGTCACTTTCGTGCCATTTATTTCGGCTGCTAAACTTTCACCTGTAAAAAAGTATTAATAAGAAAACTGTATTAATACAGCTTGGCTATGATATCATCTAGGCTTCATGAAACAGCAGCTGGAAAAAATACATTTTCACTTAATTCACAATTTAATTACCACTAAAAGCAGTGAGATAACGCAATGTTACCTTTTTTAAAAAGTCGTAGACCCACTTGCAAATTATGGATTTGCTTTCCCTACTCTGGAAGGATATCCATTCGGAGTAAGGTAGCTCCTCTGCTGATAGTTCTTTTTTTTACTGTTAATGAAAAAAATTCTCACTGTCTACGTTAATGCACTAACTTCTTGCAATAATATGTGAAATGAGGTTCAGCACTTCAAATATTGCGCTGTGTCATATAATAGTGAACAGAGCTAATACGTTTATACGGATAAGAAACCAAAATTTACGGTTGTTAGGTGCTTGTAGCTTAATAGTACAACGTGGTGCACTGATCCCATCATTTAATCCTTCAAATAATATGGAAGCTCTGACACCAACTTTTGCCAGATTTTTCAACCACAGTTCTTCAATATCGCCAACAAGTGTAATTGTGTTCATGCAATATTTTACAGTTTCAAAAACAGTCAGTGCTGAAGGATAAGATGTACCTATCTCTTCCTTTGGTGAAGTACCAACTTTACCCTAAAAAACAGTCGTATGAGTTTCTGAATTCCTTCGTTTTGTTAATCAGAAATACGAACAATAAGGCAACTTTAGAATCGTGAACGATAAGACTATTAATGAGTTTAACTATGAATTTGAAATGCAGTTGTGATCAAACTTCGAGCTGTAAAATTCACCTTTCTAAATGTAAACTGTTGCTTGGAAAGAATCTTCGGTTCTCTGAATGTTGCTTCAATTTTTGTTGAAGACGAAGAAGAGCTTAATAATGTCTTACTCAAATGATCAATAAATGATATAAGCTCATTAACGAGTTCCAGCTGTCTGTTGATAATTTCCTCTAAACTTTCTTTTATACTTGTAATATTTCCTATTGATTCTGTAAATATGATTCGTTAATGGAGGTACTAAAAGTTTCAAAATATTGTGAATGAGATTTAGAAATTCCAGTAATCTGTTGCACAATCACAGCAGAGTAGGACGACATAAGAAATTTAAATGATAAATAATATTTCCAGATTTAATACATAAATAACATACCGCTAGTATAAGATATATCATGGTAACTCCTTACTGAATACATCACATCAGGCAGGCGAATATTTTCGTAGGAATTCAAATACGGTTTGACAGAATACATCTGTTGCATAGTCCTCGAAAAGATGATCTGAAATGAACACTGACACATACTGCTTACAGGTAATCACTTTTGAACCCCTATTGGCTTTTGCAGCTTTTCGAAATTTTTCAAAACACTGGTCCCGAAAATAAGTGGCTGTGTCACTCAAATCTCCCGAACTGAGTCTATCGTTTTCTGGAAAGGTCACAGATATCTGTTCCATTTCTCTCCCTCCCTCTTTCTCCCTCTCCTTTGCTCCCTTTTCTCCCTCCCTCCTCTTCATTGATATCAAGTAGTAAATCTTGAATTCCAAAGTTGAAGAAAAAAATTAAAAAAGTACATGACAAATTAAAATAATTAAAAAGATAATCAGTGGAATGATGATTTGTACAAATTAATAAAAAAAAAAATGCATGTTAGCACGCCTATGATGTATTAATTTTATTAATAACTGCTTATATATGTGGATACTCTATCATCGTCTGTCATCTTATATGCAAATCTTATCATAAAGCAGCAGATCTGGAAGCACTGCAAAAAATTCAGTCAAAGACACTTTCACAATTTCCGGTCATATTATCAAACAGATTTGGTATCACTGATCATATGGGCACGGAATTATTTTAAGCGAACCATAACATAACGCCTAAGCTTGCCATTTACTGTGAAGGAAGACAACTGGACCGATATGTAACTATCTGATATCTCAACTGCTAAATGTTACAAAGAATCAAAAATATAGTGATAAGTGAAACTATCACTATATTTTGATTCTTTGTAACATTTTACAGCTTGTCTTCTGAGAAAGAGAGAGAGAGAGAGAGAGAGACGGATTTCAATCACAAATGTAGCGCACTGGTCCTTTCATTGCAGCATTTTTTTGAGGGTGAGATATAATATAAAACCAGTTTATTAGCACCATGTTCATTCGGAGATAGCACTCCCAAACGCTTCAGTTTTCAAAACCATTATAAGAAAAATCTGTACATAGCAGCAAGTGAAAAAAAAATGAAAGGACACTTCAAATATGAATTATTACAATGTTTCTGTGTGTCTTTCTGTTAAAATTTTTACACTTCACATTTTACATAACCCAGTAATCTTCAAAAATTTTCGGTGAGGGATCATTTGAAAAGACTTAATGTGACTTATCGCAAAAACAATTCTCCAAAGTCATTTCAGACTTTTATTTCAAAATGAAAAGGAAAACTTTGAATTACAGTGAAACGAATAAGATCTATGGCATCAACCACTGAATTTTGCAACACACAAAAACAGAGAAGGCGCAGGTCTTTGAGCAATTTTCTATCGGTTTTCACTAAAAATCTTGAAAGGACTATCGTAGCCACCTATGTAGTTTACTCCTAGAAACCAACTAAAAGAAAGAGGAGGAAAGTTAGAGGAAAATCCTTCAGACAAAAGCATATTCCAGAATTATAACGTTGTAACTCAGATAAAAGTATATTCTAGAATTATAACGTTGTAACAAAGAGATCGTCTTCAGGGGCTTCTTGTGACGGTGCAGGTCTCAGAAGCGCTCGAGCTGAATATCTGTTGAAGTCTCGTACTTCGCAACGTTCCATACCGAGGTGTTCCATGTAACGTGCACCTGCCAATGTTGCCGCTGCATTTTCAAGCTCGGATTCTTCCAGTGAATAGGCTTAAAAGATATAGCAATTGTTCTTGAAATTTAGAAGATATATAGAAATTAATTCAGACAACTATAAACACACACATACGTTTTTTATGACACTTGGACGTACCTTCCGCGATTTCTCGTCGCGCTGCTTCAACAACACGTTCATCCATATATCTACCCAATGCCAAAGCTTCACCAACAAGACGTTCTGTTAAGCCTTCTTCATTTCCATCTTGTGGCCTTAATATTGGTCTATTTGAAAGTGGTAGTCGTACCGATTTCCCATCTGGTGCTGGTCTAAATGTAATATTAAGATCAAAATTAGATATCCACTTGGCAATTTAATACTACTTCGAAGTTCTTTAAAAATTTCCATGAAGAAATAATAAAAATTAAAACTAGCTAAGATTACCTATATGTGCCTTCAAAAGCTTCACTTATATCAGCTGGCACGCCAGCAATAACCATTGCTTGATTTCTTGCTAGCATGAAAGGTTTCCTTAAGCCTTTTCCAGGTCTACCATTATTTATCCACGTCTCATCATTTCGTACTCTATTTGTATCTTTCCTTTCGCACCACTCCACTTCTTCATCTGTATCCAAAGGCATGCTGCAAAAAAAAAATTGTTGATACTTCGATCAAAATACAAACTGCTTTAGGACTTCGAAATTTGAGATAAATCTAAGCAAACCTTCTGTTGGCCAGTATATAGCGACGTTCAGTGTCTAGAGGCAATCGTGACACTTTGATTAAATCATTTTCCAATAACTTCTGGTCAACCGATATATTTGGAGAAGGTATTTGAGGTAGGCGTCGCTGAAGAACACCACCATTGGAGCGTGACGATGGTGGCATACTGGCTGAACAGTTAGTGGTTATGTAACCGTGGGTTGTCACTGACATCATATCATTACCGTACAATGGACGTGTCGGAGAGAGTTGATGGTTGGCTGGAAATATTAACACCTTCTAGCGATAATGAGATATCTATACTTTCTGCTACAACAAAAGGTGTTATTAATCACTAATAGTATCCATTAAATTAAAAGCAATGTCTTAAAATGCTGCATATTTTAAAGAAATTTCAAAATTCAATACTATCAAAACCCGATAGCAGATTGCAGTATATATCAAATATACTTATCTTATATTTTTGTAATAAACATCATATTTTACTTGTGATTAGAATTTATTTACATAAATTGCAATTTACGTGCAAAACTAAAACCTCTCAAAAATATATGTTATTGAAGCTAACATTCGCAGAATGACCTAAGGGAACAAAAATACGAAAATTATAATTCAAAGGATGTGAAATGAATAGAAGTCCGAAGTAAGTTTAGAAAGCATACCAGCCACTGGAAGTGATCGAGTTGTTCGATCTTCACGATAGACCTGATTGGCTCGAGCCGAACCACCGAGTGCCGAAATGATGTTGTTGAAAAGAGAGTGAGGACGCTAAAATTGAATTATTTTTTGTTGAAGTCAAAGTCCATCTTCTTAATGGTAAAATCTTTTTTCAACAAATCCCAAAAAACTTTAATGTGGAAACAAAATTCAAAGAAATAAAAGCAACTCTGTGCTGAGGTTCTTCCACATCTAGCGTGAAATCAGTTTCTAAATTGCCAGAAATTGCTCGTTTTAATTCTGGTCCAATTTCATGAAGCGTTCGTAATCCTGCTTGCAAGGCCATTGCCTGTGAGGTTTGCTGCGGTACAATGCCTAAAATTAACGATAAAACTTATTCCATACGAGTCCACTTAATTAATGAGCACTAAAAAATGCCAAAAAACCGCTCTTTCTCAATTTCAGATACCCAGAATCTTTTCTACTTATTTTCACGGGCTTTTTTTGTCCATTACCTTATTTCATAAAGAAAACGATATTGAAGTTTGCTTACCTTTGGATTCCAGTTCTTTTCTTTTTTTAAATCTACGAAAATAATCTTGAATCAAGAAAGTAGCATAAAATTTTCCAACTGTAACGTCATCGTCTCCTGAAACAAACAGAAATAGCAAATCTTTCAGTTTTCAACACTTTTGAAAAAAGAGCACCAGAAAATATTGTTTAAATAGTTGAAAAGAAATCCTACATTGTTTTGCAATGGTATATTTCCTTAATTGTTTATATGCTAATAAACGATAAACAAAAGCGATGTTCTTCTAATAAAATATTTAAAAATTTAATTACGATATTCAAAAATTTTTTAATATTTAAAAATTTGGTTGCAAAAATGACGAAAAGTTTCAATTCAAAATCCATTAAATTGTAGTCAAAGAATCACTTCCTGCAGGTGGCACAACTTCATCCAACATTTTCTGTGGAGTACGCTTCCAAATTCGACGAATGGCTGATCGTAATTGTTCATTCACTTCATCGATATTTCCTTCCGTGTAAATTTTTAAATTTGTTCGCACTAAAGCAAAAAGTGTTGCATTGAAACAAACTGTACCATCTGAATTCAGTGGCATATTCATTGATACCAAACGCTGCAAACTTTTCAGTATAACTGATAAGGTATGGTAAAAAAGGCTTATATGAAACTGAACTCAGCTGTGATCTAAGCTGTAGCCAATTACTTCTTCATTTAAAGTACTCTTTTCCCAATATATTGCTGTGTTGCTGTTATTTCTCTGTCAGCTCTTATATTTGTACTTTATCAAATGATTTCTCATGCAAAACTTGCTAGATGCTTCGATGAGATCCATGATATTAAACAAAAAGTTAATTTTGAAATAACTGGTAAATTACAAATGGTAAAATAGCAAACGAAGGAGCTCTATCAAAAAAGTTTAAGTATAAATGAGCTAAATGTATGGTCACGCTGCTTCCAAAATGATCAGTGAAATGATTTCATGTATTTTCTGTGTGAAATGAAGTGAAATTACTTCCATATATGGATTGACAATTTTCAGTTTGGAAAAAAATACCTTGCAAGCAAGTCGATGTGGACAAAGTTTGCCAAAACCGAGTGGTGGTGAAATTTTACGTAGCAAAGTAACGACATCCAAGTGTTTTATTCGTCCTTTTGCATCCGGATCATATTCCGACCATAATCGGACAAATTCTTCTAAATGATGTGGTCCAAGGATACTCCAATCTCGAGTTAAATAGTCAAAGTTGTCCATAATAACTGCCACGAACAAATTTATAACCTTCAAAAAAAGGAAACTTCGTGCAAAAAATTAACAAAACGATAATTTAAAATTTTTTTTATCGAACTGAAATAATTATTTCATTTTTATGAGTTAACATTACCAGGAACGAACAAAGCATGAAGAATGAAATAAAATATGGGTAGGCAAAATCCACTCCGCATTTTGCGTCCGGATTTTCTTTGTAATCATCGCTAGCCGGATCACATTTTACTTCATCTCTATCCGAACAAGAAAGCATTATTTCTTGCCACGCTTCACCAGTTGCCGACCTATTACAATTTTAAACATTAGATTTATGTATTTCTATTAATTATGTTGAAGGAATTCTATTTTTGATCAATTAAATCTAAATGAAATTGACAAAAAGATACCGAAAGAGGACAAGTACAGCAGCAGGAAATGTATGAAAGTTGTTGTTGCGATGAATATGAGTCTCATCATTTAGTGCTACTTTCCCAAATACCTATAAATACTAATTACTGATAGAAAGTTAATGATTGATAAAACTCACTGTTGAAGAAAAATACCACTGATTTTATTTGCAACAGCTTCAAAATGAAAATAATAGAAACATTTTAAATTTTAATAACTTCACGTTTAAGCTCAAAGTCACTTTTTAAAAAATTAAGCCGATCAACAAAAAAACATGCCTGCATTCCAATGACAGCATATATAAAGAACAACAATACAATTAGAAGAGCAACGTATGGCAATGCCTGTAAGAACAAAATTTAATAGTGACACTTGGCAGTAGTTTTTTTCTTATGCGAAAATAAAATCAAAAATTTCAACTTTTCAAAAAGTATGTTAAAAGCAAGCCTGGAAACTTTTCATAAAAGTCCACAACAATGTTCGAATTCCTTCTCCTCTACTCAACAGTTTTACTAATCGCATCACACGAAAAAGGCGAAAAAAATTAATGCTTATGATATTTGAGCCAGGCGAGAGCTTTCCGTAAATAATATCAATAAATGAACCCAATACAATAACAAAATCGAATGCATTCCACCTGCAAATAGAACTATATAAGCTGACAATTCTTCATTCTAAAATTTGAAAACTTGCAATCTATCAAAATAAAAAAAATATTGATAGTAATCTTAAGCCTTCTGAAAAAATTAAACTGAATTGCTGCGTAAAATTAATAATTGACTTGCTTGCCGGTGAGGCTATATTCTTTCTGAGAAGCTTCAGTTAAGATAAAAAGGTTATTGTGAGTGCTGAGAAGACAAGGCCAAATAATTTGAATATCTTAAGCAGCACGTTGAATAAATGGAATATTTAAAATCAGTCGTTCGACAGATCATTGCAAGTCTATTTCCAGCGAATAGACCAATGTCAGACGCAAAATGCAAAGGAAAATGATTTGTTTGTTTATTTCAATTTCTCAAAATGGAAAGGAAAAAAAAACTTTAAAGACGGAAAAGAATTTTACCTATCTCCAAAGTAATTTTTGGGATTTAAGGCGATGATTTTAAATACTGCTTCAAGTGCGAAAACTCCTGTAAAAATAAGATTGAGCACATCGAGTACGTGGTCCATACCAGGGTCTGGAGGATAATGTTTCATTGCCAGCGTAGTCGTGTTTAGCAAAATGATGATGAATATGACATATTCAAAGAACTGCGACGTTACGAACCACCAAACACGATATTGGAAGCGATTGCGAGGTATATATCGTCGATGTGGTTTAGCTTTTAATGCAAACTCAATACATTTACGCTGAAAATATAACAGTCACAATTCAGATAATAAATAATAACAAATAAATTATATGCATATGCTTGAAATGTAAAGAGAATTTTCAATAAATTTCATTAAATAAGAATTTGAATGGTCAAAAAAACATGAATTCTTACTTGATTTTTGTCCAGCTCACAATTTTCATATTCCCTTTCACCCTCATTTTGGAAAGTAACGATGACAAAACCGACGAAAATGTTCATCATGAAGAATGCAATGACAACAATGAATGTGATAAAAAATATAGCAACCGCTTGCCGAGCATTGTACACTGGGCCATGGTCTTCTTCGTTTGAGTTTATTGCCACATACAGCAGACTGAGATCATGATCATTTTAATGCGATCGACAAGACCAACCCGACCTCTATGCATTATTTTCAATGTTACTGAGACCCTAATGCGCTCGAGTGCAGGTCATTGTTTCCTCAACTACTCTATTCCACCCATTATTTCAAATTCGCAGACGCACCATTTCAAATATGATGATATTTTTACATAGTTTTTTTTTTGAATTTTTGAAGAAAATAAACTAAAAAATTTTAATGGACCAGTTAAAATATTTCGAAGTTGATAGTTATATCTGACAAATTCTATTGGAAAATTAAAATAATTTAAAAAGTAAAACTCACTCAGGCCAACCTTCAAAGGTGGAAACAACAAATAGCGAAATCATGGCGTCACCAACATTATCGAAATTAAAATCATTCTTAATCCATTCACGTCTCATTCGCAATGGCTTCATTGGATCACCATCTTCATAGGCCAGAAACTCACCTCTATAAATACAAATTATGATTAGTCAAATAATTCAATATAAGAGAAATTAATATTTTTCTCATTAGATTTCTTCTAACAAAATATCCACCAACCTGCATTCATATTCAGTCATCTTCGATTCGTCAGTACAGCGGAAGAAAGTACCCTTGAAAAGTTGCACACCAATAATGGCAAACATGAATTGTAGCATAAATGTAACCAACATGATGTTACCGATCGTTTTTACCGCAACAATAACACATTGTACAACGTGCTATAAAAATGTCAGTATTATTGTTCATGAAACTGTAATTCTTAGTTAAACTTCTAGTTTCGTGTTTTTCAAAGTATAAGTGAAACAGAATTAAGGTAAAATAATGTGACCTTAAGGCCTTTGGCTCTATTGATTGCTCTCAATGGTCTCAACACTCGCAGAACTCGAAGAATTTTAACAACCGAAATAGCATCTGATTTGAGGACGAAAGATACAAGAGATACAGCGACAACAAGAATGTCCAGTAGATTGAACGCATTCCGACAAAATGAACCCTTGTGAAACATCAATCCATAAACAACTACTTTCAGCGTTATTTCAACAGTAAATACAGTAGTGAAAAAATAATCGAAATAATTCAGAATCTGTAAGAGTATAGGAACTTTATCTTTCAAAAAGATATAATAAGTCGAAAGTGTTACATCACTTACATAGCTTCTAATTTTTTAGTAATTACTACTCTACTGGTACTATGTCCACCTTGCAGATACAACCCAATACTCTGGAACGCACGTCATAACTTACAAAAATTTGAAGTTTAATACTTTAAACTGTATCATAAATGTATTTTAAGCTATATAATACTTGTTCAACTGTTGACGAGTTACACGACAAACATATATAATCATGGTATAATAAGTAAAGTTAATAATAAATTACTGTGTTACGAGGTGACTGTGCTTCCAGCGGATCTTCTGCTGCAAGCATTGCACTGGACACAAGAATGCATATTAGCACACTATTTGTGAAGTAGGAGTGATTGACAATTTTGTTACAAAATACCCTGCAACACTTCAAAGTATTTACAAAAATAGAAAATATGCTTTTGAATGTAAAAAAAGATGATACGTACTGATAATTTTACACATTGACATTGACATTATATTTGTCGATAAATAACAATAAATAATAATAGAGTAACTTTTTCGAGATATACTATTACCCCTCATTATACTTTTTCAATAGTTAATTCTGGACAGATTTCATTTTTTTTGGATGGACATTCATATGCCGATCCGAGTGAAATATTAAGGAAACTTTAAACTTTTAAAATATTATATTAAGCATTAAAAAGTTCACCGAAAAGGATTTGTATGAGAAAGAATGAACAATGATGAAGCTTTTGGGATAGGCTTCTGTTGCTTGGCAGTAATCAATTCGGACATCCGACGAGGTCGTGCAGTTATTATTTCACCGCCTTCCTCTTCTTCTTCCATAACTATTCTAAAGCAGTTGTCAATTTTACTGTACTTTTGAATTTACAATAACAGGATTCCCAGTTTCGTTTATAACTTTCGGGAAGCCAGCTAGATATTGTCGAATATATAGCCAATCATGTAGGACAATAGGGTAGATATGCACAGCAGACAAATAGTCAGGACGACTTTAGCTTCTGATGTGATTCAGAAAATAAAAAGTCGAAGGCTACCCCTCTGATTAATGACTGCTAATAGTAATGCGAAACTGTCATACCAAACCGAAGATTTAGTAGAAATTCCAAACCGAAGATTTGGTGTAAATTTTAAATGTAAATAAAAAGAAACCTGCTATCGTCCCTCGTCTCCTCATTACCATTTTCATCATACTTTTCATCTTCATAATCATCTTCTGCCACTTCTTCTTCAACTTCTGCAACATCGATTAAATGTGAAAGCATTTTCTTATTAACAAATTTTTTAGAAATTTAAATCAATGCACCTCAACGCATCTTAAAATCTTGAGAAGGACAAAGATATACCTGCTTGTTCTTCTTTCTCAGCATTTGTTAAACTATCTGCATCGGCTAAATTGTCAACCGCGATGGCAAGGAAGACATTGAGCAATATGTAATTACCACAAATGAATAAAACAATGAAATAAACGGAAACAAGCACGCCCCATGAGCCAACACCACCAAATGATGCGATACCGTTGTACATCACTGTGTTCCAGTCTTCACCAGTTAGAATCTAAAATCCATATCTACTAGATGAATATAAATGCAATGTGATGTAATCCAATTAATAAAATTTAGTTTCTATAAATGTTAACTCAAATTTTACATATTAATATTCAAATCCTGAATTAATTACCGATACATATGGTAACTGATCTGGTAACAAAAATATTAAAAAAAAAGAGTTGTGAACGCTTTGAAACAGTTAACAGTGTTTTTTAAGATAGGTGAAACATGAACTAAGATTTAGCATCTCAAACTGCACTGTGCTTCATTAAGTGTTAATGATGGATAAGGTTAGTAGTGGTTGAAAATGACTATTAATGATTACATAATTCATCCATAAAATTTGAAAGATTAATTTGCAATGACATTTGTTTGAATTATTCATTCAAAAAAAGAGAAGGATTTGGCTAATAATTACCTGAAATACAGTTAATAACGCTTGGGTAAAAGTGTCGAAGTTTGCACGTGGTTTAGGATTCATTGGATTGAAATTAAATTTACCACCAAACACCTGAAGTTAAAGTACACTTACGAATACAAAAATTACATTTGCAAAAATACCATTATGAATTTGTCAGTCTACATATACTTCTTATTTTATCGATATAGCTTGCAATAATAAACCTTCTTCAAGAACCTAATGGTCAGTGGTATTTGGTTTCCGACTGTATTACAAGCGAGAACATTCAATGTCCTGCAACTACTGATGGGAATTTTACACTTTATGCAACCATACAACAGTGTTTTACCTATTGTATACCTTGAAAGATTCATGAAATAATAACCTGCATTCCAAGTAAAGCGAAAATAACAATAAAGAGAAAAAGAAGTAGCAGAAGTGACATAATAGAGCGAAGAGAATTGAGCAGAGAAGAAACAAGGTTGCGCAACGAGGTCCAGTACCTGCAGTTTACATAGCGGTGTTCAATCTTTAATTTATTCTTCGCCAAATTTCAACATTATATCATAATGTGAGGTATTCTTGAAAATATTGGATAAGCAGAAAAAATACTGCAAAATATTGTCTGACAAATTTTTCTGAAAGATTAATTTGGCGCTCCAGGCAGTTTAGTTTAAAAAGTGACACAAAGAAACTACATAAACTATTTCATTTGAGATTTCGAAAAAAAAAAAAATTTTTTTATGCATGCCACATCTAACAGCTCCTAGAATTTTCTGGAATACCGCAATATTTAAATGACCTAGCGGTCCTGGTAAGAATAATGATATAATTAAAAAGCGTAATTATATTCTAATACATTGAAAACGTCTGATTTTGAAAAATTGAGCGATATTTTTCAAAACCTAAAGATATCCAGTTTCAACAATCATGCGAGAAAAATGTTTACTAACAAGACAGAATAGAGTCATAACTCAAACTTACTTGGTAACTTTGAATATTCTAAGAAGACGGGCTGAGCGCAATACAGAAACGCCCAGCGGCTTCATCAGATCAAAATACACAAGAACAAATTCGACAATAGAACTGAAAACATATATGAACAATTAGGATAGCTTAAGCATATTCAAATTTTTTTTACAGAACTGAGTAAGTAGAATAACTGAATTACTAGAAATGGAAAAGGAAATTGATTATTCACAAACCTTATGACAACGAAACAATCAAATCTGTTAAATTGTGACGTTGTATAAGTCGTCAGACCGAGTGAATACATTTTCAAAATCATTTCCATTGAAAACAATATAACAAAAAACAAATTTGCCACTGCTAAAACAGCAACTTTCGAAATAATCTCATTTTTTGAAAAAAAAAAAGACTTTTGCGCAACTAGGAGTACAAACCTTCATTTGTTTGAATAAACTTTTTTTAATTAAAAAAAAAGCTCTCAAAACTTGATTCCCAAATAAAGCATTCTTTTTTTTGTGTTTAGCATACTTGATTTATCAATTAGTTAATTAAAAAATGGGGTAATGTTCTTGTAAATCGTTTTTAAGTTCTAAAGAAAATTAGGGTATAATAGAAGTCCTAAAACAGTCCAACAAATAGCTCAGATTGATAGGCCATTGCTTCTCAGATGACATAGACGAAAATTACATTTCATGATCACTCGAGTAATACTACCGTTGCTTATTAAGGCTTAAGTATTTATGAGGAACGAAAATAAACTCTGGGCTCTCTCAAGGAGAAAATGACTCGCTTGAAGTATTATTAATAGAAAACAAACTTTGGAAATGGTCAAGCCATGGTTCTTGCTTATAATGCTCGGTGGTTAGAACGAGTGTATTGAGCAATACTAGAATGATCACAAGCCAATAAAATGTTTGCGACTTTACTAGCCTGAAATAAAATTCAAAATTTGACCGACCTCTAAAGAAGTGATTTAATCATTGTTTAACTCACAAAAGCAATGTGTCCAATGAATAAGCTAACAAATAAGCGTCAAAAATGCGCCCAACCTTCGACAACCGCGTCGACATCGTCGATTCAATTTTTGCATTCTTCGTAGTCTTTTCTTCCACCATGAAGGTCTTGAATCATCTGTTTTCTCATCGGCTTCTTCATCAAGCTCTTCACCTGTAGCATTTACTCCCAGTCGCTGATCATTGCTTCTCGTATCTTATTAAATTTAATTTTTTCTTCAAATTCGCTGTTTAAAAACAGTGCGAGAAAGTTCTAGGACATTTTTCACATGAAAATATCCTTCCACATACTATCATTTTTTTCTCATTGTACAAGAAAATATATGTCTTATACAAACTTTAAAAAACTTTAAAATTCATACCGTTAAACTGTTGTTCATCCTCCTGCTCATCATCATTAACCGGTTCGATATCTTCCGCCTGATTTATCCAATCCAAATATCCCTACAAATTTAATATTATTATGACTTCTGTGATGGGGAATGTAATCTCGAACATTAATCAAATTATTTATTTTATAACAATTACTTGGCAAAAAATCTTGAAGCATTTACTTTCAAATCTTCTTCAAGTTGCTGTTTTTCCCGAAATTTCTGAAAAAGACCACGAGCCCTTGCTTTTTCTCTTTCTTTGGAAAATTCCCTGAAATTAGATATGTAAATTTCGATGTGTACGCTATAATAATTACTTATCACATAACAACTACATCCGATGAATTGCAGCAGCAGCAAGCAGATATACAAATTACACGAATCAGAAAAGTATACGAACCCGGAAAGTACACCAAGCACCAAGTTTAGCACGAAGAAAGAGCCTAAAATAACTAAAGTAATAAAATATATCCACGGCCATTCTCGACCAACTGCATCATTTACCTGAAATAGAAATAATTTTTAAAATTCATACGGATAACTTCCCACAAAACGGCTGATTAGGAGATAATCAGTCAAAATCCCATCAAAATTTTGATTTAAAAAAATATGGGTGATGATATTACTTGTGAAATTGATATGACTTGTTGATGGCTTATTTCTTCACTAAATTTCCAACTTCTCTGAGATAAAACCATGTGATTAAAAGTTTATGTGATTTCGTTTTTCTCCTATTTCCCCTTATTAAAACCATGTGATTTCCACACTTTTTTCCTTCTATTTTCGCTTATAATTTGAAATTAAAAACTAAATCTAACAATTCACCAACCCAATACATGACGTCAGTCCATCCCTCAAGTGAAACGCATTGGAAAACAGTCAACATGGCTAGGCCAAAATTGTCAAAATTTGTTATTCCATTATTTGGTCCTTGCCATGAAGTATTCGACGCGCAGATCCAATGCACTCCTTCGTGGTGTCCTGTTCAAATTTCATGAAATTGGAATATTTTGATAATGTTGCAGTCGCAAAATGCATCATAATTCTATCATAATCTATAAATCTTATCAAGCAAATGAACTTGTCGGAATAAAACTTGTTCCAGTATTAAATTATTAAATGCTTCTAATCATCCTAATGATTTCATCAATTAGTGCAAAAATTTTTATTTCAACAGCATTAATCATAATGTCATTTATGACATTATTTATGATTTTTTATTTCAAACGAAATTACACAAGTTCTAATTACCACTTGGTTGGCAATGGAATGCGGAGGATGCAAAACCACATGTTGAAGGCGTATGTTGCGCTAATTGTCCAGTTGCTGGATCAAAGCTATAATGATTTTTTTTTAAATAGTGATCTCTAATTTATTCTACAAAGTTTTAAACTGTTTGAAAATTTCCAAAGTTGGTAGAAGAATAACCATGTTGAATGAAGTTTGCCACAAAACAATTCCAATCCAATTATTGCGTATATTATAATAACAAACATGACTAGCAACGCGATATGAAGCAATGGAATCATAGCACGAAGAATTGCGTTTAACACAACTTGTAAACCTTCAACTCATTTTGGTTTAAACTAATAACACTAATAGTTTTGTACATGGTTCTTTTTTTTAACAAAATTAGAGTCAGTAATCTATATTTTAAAATATTTCAAATTTTTATTTCTTTTCATCAATTTTAAATCAGCGATATTATAAGGAGCTATTAATTTAATGCACGGTAGATTTTTTTCTTTAAATTATATACTTTTCCTCTCAATTCTGGATTTATAAGTGAAAAGAGATCGGCTGCTGGCACCCATTTTTTTATGGGACTTTTCAATATATTGTTCCGAGAATCTTAATTTCCTTTTAAACAAGGTGTAAAATGAGTAACTACTCCAAAATAATTGTAAATAAAATGTCTGCGAGCAAATCCTTCAAATTATAAACATGTGAATGGGATAAACTAACTAGGCACTCCAGATACAAGACGCAAAGGACGGAGTACTCGAAATGCCCTAAGCGCTTTCACATCAAAACCCTGAATGTTCATCCTGGATAACGCTGTGCTCACAAGTCTGCAATCATAAATTAGTTACTTTCACCTATTTTCCATCAATAGCAGATTAATATGATTTATATTTGCCAAGCACGTGGATATTGTTGCAACCGTTCAATCAACTCGAATAAAACTTTACCCAATAACAACGATGATGAAATCGAGTATATTCCATGCGTTCCTGAGGTAGGCACCAGGATGAAATAAAAACCCTAGCGCAATAACTTTCAATACGCATTCTATCGTAAATACAACTATGAACAGATACTCTATTTGCTCCTGCAATTATAAAAATGTTAATTAAGTTTAGCAATTCAATCATATTATAACATTGAACTTTTTCACATTTCATATTACCTCCTTCTCTCCACTAATTGGTTAAAGTTTAATCTGATACTAACATCTTTAGCTTCCTCATTTTATCACTACTAATAATCTCATAATAATGTTGTTAATCAAAGCGTTGTTAATCAATGGTGTCTGGAATTCCACTCTCAGATAAAATGCCCATAATAATATAGTATTGTGTTCTCTCTCTTTGCACATATTCTCCATAAGCAGTTTGAAACCAAAATAATACTTTTAATATCAGAAGAATAAACTAACCAAAATGATATTTTTTGTATCAGAATCCTGAGCAGGATAGGGTTGATAAACAGCCAGCGCGATGCAGTTTGCACATATCATCAACAAAATCAGCCATTCAAAAGGTCTGAAATTTGAAATAATAAATTCTGCTACAATAAAATTATATATTACAATACAGTCAAGTGAAAAATGAATATAAATTCGTTACAAATAGCGGAAGAGCACATTTTTCTTTAACAAAATTTTTGCGTATGAAACAGAAATAGGGACAAACATTATCTTTTCGTCCCTCAATTATTTTGTCATAAATTGAAAAAGTTTACCTCCATTCAACAATTGTTATACAAGCCTTCCTGAGAGGATTCGAGAGTGTGAGACACAACAATGAACGTTCACTTCTCTCTACTATATTACTTTGCCGCATCGGTTTACGTTGTTGCTGCCGTTTTTTCGCAGCTTCTGATTGTGATGTGGCCGCAACTGCCGCCTGAAATGAATTTTTATTAGAAGCATGAAAAATTGTATAATCGTTGCGTTATTTTTACTATTGACACAATTCCAAATCTTCAAGACAAAATTTGTATAAACTTTTAAAGAATGAGGAAAAATGTAAACACTGATTTGAACCTAAGAAACAAAAGATTCTAGTAGCGTAATTGATGTAAAAGAGTTTGATCAATTTGTTTTGACATAGTTCAATCAGTTATTTGAAAGACTGATGAAAATGAAGAAAAAAAAAATCTACTTGAAGCGTTTGTTGCCATAAATCGGATTTGTGTGGATCTTCCGCATGATGGTCGTCCTCCTCCGTTGAGGACGCCATCATACTGACCAGCACTGAAATTTTAATGATTACTTTAAAAACTGACAGAAAAATATAACCATACCAAAAATACCAAAAAATGAACAAGAAAATATGACTTTTTTCCTTCACTCTTTCATAAAACACAATGAAATATAATAATTAATTAGGATTTTTTGAAAACTTCAAAACTCTGGACTTCACAAGTACGCGGCAAAACAAATCAACTAAGAGGAAAACTTATAACAAGCATGATAAATGATAATTCTTGACTTCGAGTCAACAAAATGTCACCACCACATGTTATTTATTAGCTTCATACTAAAATATTTTCTATCCACTGAAAAATAGTTGGCAGAAAAGGAAAAGTTGAGAAAATACCTAAATCAAACGAACTATATAATATAAATTGATATGATAATATTCTTGCTATATAAACTGACTTATTATCATTTGACTTTTGACAAGTACTTTTTTCTACAAATATTTTTAATTTTTTATAAATAAAATGTAAAGTTCAGCAAAAGGATTAGAATTTGAAATTCAAAGTAAAAAGTTCGGAAGCGGTAGAACCATCAACATTGACTGTAAGAAATAAGTTCTTTTGTCGAGATTTACAGTAAATCGGTAATTACCCACGAAAATTGATCGCTTTTAGAGTTGAGAATGACGATATCATTTTTTGTTAAGACTTTGAAAATGTCTCAAAATTTTCTATCCATGAAGTGGAGAACTGTCCAATCATTTCAAATATAGGTATGTATGTATCTGAGACCACACAATAGTATTTTTCAACATGTTTGTGTTTCGTGTCCAGTAAAAAGTGATCGACAAGAATAATCCTTGTGATAAGGATAGATACAATGGTAATAGTAGTGATAAAAGCAATTCTTGATTTGATAATGATGGTAAATAAAGTGTGGATATAATAATAACAATAATAGCAATGTGATGTTTACAAAAGTAAACCTTTTAATGATTTTAATATTAATATTTTCTACAGATGAAAATGAAAAACCTCCACTGATATACGTCTCCTTCAAAAAAAAACACTGAAAATCTGAGTTTGTTCTGGCATAAGACAAAAGAGCAAAATATATCATATTAAGGTTAATACCACTTATTTTAAGACTTTACCTTGCAAAATTTTCCTTCCCATAATTTGCAATTCTTCCTCCTATCAAACTTGCTAGATCGATGCCCATAAATG